TAGTCTGAGACCATGAGTTGATCTTGGTGTCTGAGTTTTCTGTCATTGGCTGGCACTCTACCATCTGAGCCATGCCTCCAATCCCAAGTGTGGTTTCTTATAATATAGCCAGATGGCAGTGGCTCAAACCTATAATCTTAGCTACTTGGGAAGTAGAGATTATAGTTCAAAGACAGATTAAGCATAAAAGTTCAAAAGACTCCATGTGGGGGGGGGGGGAAGTACAGTAGTTGAGTACAGTAATATGTGCCTGGTATCCTCAGTGTTATGGAGAAGTATAAATAGGAGGATCACAACCCAGGTTAGCCTGGGCATAAAGAAAGACCCCATCTGAAGGGTGCCGATGGCCCAAGCCTGTACTCCTAGCTCTACAGGAGGCTGAGATCTGATAATTCAGATTTGAAGATAACCCATGTAGGAAAGTCTTTGAGACTTATCTTCAATTAACTAGCAAAAAGCCAGAAGTGGAACTATGGCTCAAGTGGTAGAGTACCAGCCTTGAGCAAAAAACCTAAGGGGCTTACTGTAGGTTCTGAGTTTAAGCTCCAGTACTAGCATGCACACACACACACACACACACACACACACACACACACACACACACACACGGTTTCTTGAACAAAACATGTTCTCATCACTCAGGAAACTCTATGGGCTTTTGGAGCTCAGGACAGAAAGCAAAGATTTGTTTTCTGTTGTATCACAGATCACCCCTCATTACTTCATCAGCAATGTCATCTTAAATCTCAGGCCTTTCCCCACACCCCACCTCACACATCACACCATTCGGTTACTCTTTTAAAAAATTATATTATTGTAAAGATGCTGCACAGAGAGGTTACAGTGACATGAGTAAGGTAATGAGTACATTTCCTATCGAGCATTGTTACCACATCCTTTGTTTTTCCCCTACCATTCCTTCCCTCCCCACCTCCCTCACTTCTTCCCCCCCCCCCCCTCTTGCAGAAGTTGTAAAGTTCGTTTACAACATAGTGTCTTGTGAGTATCATTGTTGCAATGGGTCATCCTGTCATTCTGTTACTCTTAAGTAACCAGGGTCCCATGGCTTCTCAGGCGTGTGGAAGCATCCATATGCATCCATATCCTTCCCTGATCTGCGTAACTGCAGGAGGCTCCTCCAGAAACTCTTCATCTCTGCTCTATCCCAGCTAGTCTATTTCTCCACACAGCTAAGAGGTCCTGCCAAATCTTCAGTCCCAACCCATCCTTCTTTGGCTCGGGAAACTCTGGTGGCTGCCACTCTACTCAAAGTGACTGCAGCTTCCTCTAAAGGTTCTCCCCAGGTTTCCATACCCAGGCCCGATCCTTTCTCTGACTTCTCCCACTGCTCTGTCTGTGCCAGATCATCACCTTTATCCTTCAGAATCCTCTCTCTATCCGTCTCCCTGTGTGTCCTGGAGCAGGTGTCGCCCTTTGGCTTCCAGGAGTTTTTGACCTGTGGGAAGATGGGAGGAGCTGGAGTATGTATCTCTGCTCAGGGCCTTGGTTGTGCCATGGCTCTGTTTCTCTCTCAAGGACTTTGCTCCTCCTCTAGCCTGGCTGCAGCAGCTCCACTGAGTCTCCAGTAGTCACTTCTTCCTCTTGAAACTTCGGACTCAGGGATGTTATGGATTTGAGTGATTCCTAGCCCCGAGAGACCTCTCCATTATCGCCTCATCACCATTATTTTTGTGCCAGTACTGAGGGAGACTTGAATTCAGGGCCTTGTGCACTCAGCTTTTTCACTCAACGCTGGTATTCTACCACTTGAGCTACTCCTCCACCTCTTTTCCGTTTTTGGAGGGCATTTTTGCTGATTAATTGGAGATAAGTTTCTCAGATTTGTTTGCCTGAGGTGGTTTTCACCTGTAATCCTCAGATCTCTGTCTCTCCAGGAGCAAGGTGTGAGCCCCTGGTACCTGGCTTTTTTTTTTTTTTTAATTAAAGGATACCATGGTATTGGAGATGCATCTCAGCAGGAGAGTGCCTGACTAGTAAGCATGAGACCCTGAGTTCAAATCTCAGTGCTGTCCTCCCCAATGTCATCTTAATCGATTACCTTATTTCCAAATAAAGTCACATTTTTCAGGTACCTGGGGCTTAAGACTTCAGATGCACACCATGGTGCTGTAATCCCAGAACCTGGGAAACTGAGGCAGAAGGATTGAGAATTCAAGGCCAGTCAGGGCTACCTACTAGGACCTTGCCCCACAACACACACACACACACACACACACACACACACACACACACACACACACACACACACACAAACACACACACACATATACTTTTTGGAGGGAGGATGCAATTCAACCAATCAGGATCTTTTCAGTTCTTCCTTGCAACTGTAGTATTCAAAGTTACTAGTATCTCAATGAGAATGTAATAATTCCAAGAAAAATTAATTTTACACCTGAAGTGGCAACTAGCAACTTAGGGTGGGTTTGTTCTGCATATGTTTGTGCTTTCCCTGTGCAGGCCACCCAGAGCTCTGAACATTTAAAAGCTGAGAAATGAAATCTGAAGTTCTGGATTCTGGTTTCCATGACAAGTCAGGATGTTAGCTTACCAGGCCTCTTCTCCTGCTGCTCTCTCTGTCTGGGAGTCTCTATATTCTGCTAAACCCATCTCAACCACTCATGAATAGAGCATCCCTAGTTTCTTGCATCTCAAGAGAAGCTGTGACTTCACTAAGAATGAACTGTTTGTTTCGAACTTGCTAAAATGTATGCAGCTCAACCAACTGCCACAGGGTGTCATCTCTGATGGTCTGGGCATCCTTCCAATAGTTGGTCCTGATCATTTATGGTGTCTGCCTGTTACTGTCCCTGTGTGAGAGTGGTATACAGCTAGACACCAGTGGCTCATGCCTGTAATCCTAGCTACTCAAGAGGCTGAGATCTGAGAGTGGTGGCCAGGAGCCAACCCAGGCAGACAAATCCAGGAGACTCTGATCTCCAGTTAACCAGCAAAAATCCAGATTTGGAGGCATGGCTTACACAGTAGAACATCAGCCTTAAATGAAAAGGCCAAGTGAGAACACATGGTTCTGACACCAGTACTGGTGCATGCATGCACATACAAACATACACAGAGTAGTAAGCAGACAAGGAAAAAATAAACTGTGTCTGTTTATATAGGCAAGTTGGAAGAATCTCTTCTTCAGTATCTGATGCTCATGTAGCTCTCAGAGTCTCTGTGTGGTGTCTTTTAAAGGAGTACTTACCATTTGGGGCCTAAGATGTTAATGTTTTTTTGTGTGTGCCAATGCTGGCTCTTGAACTCAGGGCCTGGGCATGGTCCCTGGGGTTCCTTTTTGCTCAAGGCTAGCTCTTTGCCACTTGAGCTACAGTCACACTTCTGACTTTTTGGTAATTTTTATTGGAAATAAAAGTCTCACAGATTTTCCTGCTCAGTCTAGCTTTGAACTGTGAGCTTTACATTTTAGCCTCTTGAATAGTTAGGTTTACAGGTATGTACCCACAGCACCTGGCTTAAGGTTCACGTTAATTTATAATGTGCTTTGGAAAGGGTGGCACGGGACAGATACATCGAGGGACATGGGGACGTTAAATGGGTATGCATGGAGACAATGCTCCCCATAGGGAAGTGTGGAGAGAGACCATATCCTCCCTTAGCCCCTGTTCACTCCATTCCCCAGTCTTCCTCTCTCTGGCCCTCCCCTGTGTGCCCTGGAGAAGGTGGGCGTAGCCTGTGGTCTGAAAGGTGATGCTTCTGGAGATGAGATGAACTTGCCTGGTCTCATTCATAAATTGTGGGGAGGGGTTGGACAAGGCATATAAATCTCATGACGCATTTCCTCACTGAAACCAACCCAGACCAAATCAACCAACCAAAAATAATGTTGCTATGTCATGTGGGCTGTGATGGACTGGAATAATGTACGAATGTGTGGTAAACACCCCCTAACTGCCACCCCGAGCTAAGGCAGCATTGAAACTCCAGCAAGACTCCAGAGATGCAAGTGAGCTCCCGACCCTGGGGCTGCGTGGGTGTGGGCTGTGGAACCTTGTGACCACTGCAGTGAGCTGACTCTGAGCCCAGCGTGCTGTGTGTCTCCTGATTTTCCTCCTAGCATGTAGGTCTGAGCAGGCCTCTGACCTCCTTGAAAAGCTGTAAGTACGCATGGCCTGCTGGTTCCCGCCTCCTCTCCACCCACGGCTCTCTTCCTTGGATCATTCAATGGGACCTTGGCTTTGAACATGGAGGAAACATCAGGTGGTCAGTAGTCCCTGTTAGTCTAGCTATGTATGGCTGTGTAACCTGAGAGGCATTCAGGCCTGTCTTCTCCATCTCTTTTGAGAGATCTCCTGGGAAAAATGTTCTGAAATGCATCCACGTTGTCCCCTGTATTCATTCTTCTGCGTCACTGGCTCTCTGAGGTAGGCAAAGAAATGTATCTGGAACTGGTGGGGCTAATTTTCCATTCAGACTAGAGTTAAATGCATTTGTCCCTTCAGTTTTTCTCACCTATATGTGGCTAGGCCACACGTGGTGATTTTCTGGATTCCTTTACACCAGGACTTGGGGAAGCCAGGGGGCTGGGTGCTGGCCTGTGTGCCACCGTTCACCCAGTAAGGAACGGTCTACTGGTGCTGTGAGGTTCTGTGCCCACAACTCCAGCAGCTTCATCGGAGAGTCAAGAAGACTTTTGCCAAGAGAGAATGGGTGGGATCACTTTCTGAGGGCTGGCAGGGGAGTCTGTGTGGGCCAACAGTCAGGGAGCCAGCAAGAAAACAGCCTTGATTCTGAAGGATGCTCTTTGCCCTCCTCTGCCCTGGCAGCTTGCACAAGAACCAAACTGTGTATCTGGAGTCTAGAATTTGAGGAATGTGCCACAGCCTGATAGGCGCGAAGCAATCTGCAAAAAGGCAGGGAGGAGCAGCTCCCAGGGCCAGGGCCTGACAGGGAAAGGAGTGTCAGGCTTGTGGGCCCGGTGGCCCCTCCCATTCTCCCTGGCCTCCTCACTGCAGCTGGGATATCAAAGACTGCATTGTGCTTGGAGTGGCCTTGGTCCCTCTCGCGTGCCAGGGAGGAGGCGGGAGGAGGGACACTGCTGGGAGGCTCCCTGCTCTCTTCTAGCTGGTGTTCCCAAGGGCCCTGGCCTGGGAAGGATGGTGCACACATGGGTGGCTGCTTCTGTATCCCTGGGGAGCGGAGTCCATCCTGGGGCCCAGGTGAGTTTCCTGGTGGGGGTGGAGGGAGGAGGAAGGGTGGGGATAGAGGCTGCCCTGGCTTGTGACTGGTTCTAGGAAGGTATCTCTTCTCACTGTGGCTGGTTTGACGCAGCTGCCCTTCCTTACAGAGACTGGAAGATGGTTATGCGTTCTGGCTACCTCTTCTCCCTTCCTAATTGAGCATCTGCCATTCTGGCTTTGTAAAACAAAAGGAATGCAACCTGGAGGGGCTGCTTTTCCTGGAGCTAGAGGCTTTGGGCTTTCTTTGTAAGGGGGGAGCATGCCTTTCTAGGCAGCCACTCCTAGGGTATGACTAAGCCCTTCCTTCCTTTCTTCCCAAGATTCTCCAGGGCAGGAAGAAGTTTCCTGCAGTGAGTTCCTCTGTGGCCTACGGGTGGTCATAAATTTGGCTTCAGTCATTCAACTCTATTTTCGTCTAGGCTTCTACCTCTGAAGACAAACAGGCAGTTTCCTGCCTCCTACCTGTTACAGTGGTGGTTTGAGGCCTGCCAAGTCAGGTCATAGAGAGTTGTAACTTTAAGATACTATCAGGTCATCTGGAACAAGACACAGTGACCAGCCATCCATGTTTGCTGGGCTCTGAGGGTTTTTCTGGGGTCATAGTCAGTGCTAAAGCCTGGAGAGTCCCACACAAACCAGCCTGGCTGGCCACCCTGAAGCCAGCTCTCTGCTCTTTTCCAGAGCAGAACCAGACCCTGAAGGCTCTTTTAGGACATGATCAGGGTGCCTACTGGCTTTAGGGAAGAGGGTGGATTGGGGAAGACTCATTCGGAAAACAGAGGAAGTTTATTCCAAGGACTCATTCCTGACTCTAGTGTTCCTGGAGCACAGCTCTGGTTTGCCAGAGCACGGGAAGGAGCGTGCTGAGCTCCGGGCTTTCCCTCTCTGACGGCTGACTCTCCCTATGGGCTGGGAGCTGGGCTCTTAGAAGGTCCTTCAGGTCCTTAAAGTCTTGGCAGAGGCATCTTGGCACTGACATCAGGGAGGCTCTGGTAAGCACAGGCTACCCTGGGCCTAAAATTAGAAGCAAACAAGCCCTAAACAATACCACTGGTACAACAGACTAGGATACAGCTTGCCTATGTTATTGGGATTTATCACATTTTCAAGCCCTTGCCTCAAACCCTATGGTTCTTGCAGGTATACTACTTTCTTTACCTGATTGCGGGGGAAGCAGGGTCACGGAACTGACTCTGTCTGCTCCCATTAGACAGGTATCATCAAAAGCCATGGTTTTGAGACCAAAGTGATCTTGCTTCTTTTCATAGTGATTAATGTCTGTGTTTTAGTTTTCTCATTTGCCAATTGTATGAAGTAATAAGTTAGGCATTCCTCATGAGATGGTGCTGGGGTTAAGTCTACCTGTGAGACCTATAAAAAAGCATGACACACAATTAGGAAAAATAAACATCAGGTCTTGAGTTACATGTTTATAACTCTAACAGATCAGCATCTCTCTCGGGGCTCCATTTGTTCATCTGTGGAGTGTAGGGGGTTGTAAAGTGCTGGTGGAGGGATCTTCAGGAGCTGTGCTATTGCAGCTGGATCAGCTTTGACTGGACCCTAGCTTGGGCTGGAGTAGCTCTGCTTCTAACAGAGGCTTCCTGTGGAGCAGAGTTCTGTAGTATAAAACAAAGGAACTTGCATTGAAGAAGGTGTCAGAATTCTTAAGGCACTGTCATCCAATGAATATATTTTTCATCCATGTTTTGCTACTGGTAACTAGGTTGGTCCCTTGGACTTCACCAAGAGTCAGCCAACTATTTATTCCTGTTGAAGCTGTTCATGCCCTTCCCCCATGTTTTTCTCTGTGCCCATCAGGGCCTTTCCTGGGAGGGTCGGGGGGTGGGGGGGTGGGGGGAGGTCAGTATGTACATGCTAGGTCTGAGGCCAGTTGATATAAACTTCAATTTTAGCTTCCTATATATTCTGGAGAAATGACACAGACCTGGAGCTATTTCATAGTTTGATCTTGAGCACAAGTCTTTTGTTTTCTGGAGCCTCCGTTCCTGGATGTGGGAGGGATCCACAGTAGTGTCCATCACGGGGAACCCTTGTGAGAACTGCATTGGGAAATTCAGCCCATGGAATTGGCAGAGGGTCTGGGCAGTTTTATTGTCGGTGGATGTTGACCACTCCCAGATCCCTACTTCCTGCTTCCTGTCTCAGCTGGCGCAGCAGTCTGGGCTCATGTTTTTCTGGCTGCTTCTGCTATTTGGTCTGTTAAGTGGGAGTTAGCAGTGAAGACCAAACTGTCCTCATGATAAGGGAGGCAGGAAAGAAGGAGGCTCCTGATAGCACGGCACTCTGCACAGCTGATTGGCTGCTTTATTACAGTGTGATGCAGTAATGAATGTGGTTGTGAAAGCCCAATGACTGCATGTTCATATGTGACCTCTGCTTGTGGCATCTGGTGCTCCTGGTGTTTCTCATTTGCTCACAGATATCTCCTATTTGCACATGGTGAGAAGGTGGTGCTTGGTCTGTGGCCAACCCCTCTGACACTTGCCTACCCTCTACATTTTTGCCATTGTTCAGTGAACTATGAAGTGAAGGCAGATCCTGGAGAATTGTCATGTCAATGTTACCTCATCTAGAAGTTTCTAGCACTTCTTCAACACCTTTATGAAGAAATTTGGCAGACATTTTTTTTTGTGGGAGAGATATTTTTGTCTGTGATGATCACCCATGTTTTTAATGCTTGGTTCAGCCTTCTTGGTAAATTTGAATCATTAGCATGATGATAAGAGATCACAGAGACTGCTGACAACAATAAGGGATGGAGTATTATTGTTATTTTGCTGGTACCAAGGTTTGAACTTAGCACCTGAGTGCTAGAACTTGGCTGGTTCTCTTGTTTGAACCAAGCTTCTAGGATGGCTTTTTGCTGGTTAATTGGAGATAGAATTTCGTAGACTTTTCTGTCCAGTATGGCTTTGAACCATAATCCTTTGGATATCAGCCTCCTGAGTAGGTAGGATCACAGGCATGAGCAACTGGGGCCCGCTCTTTCTTTTGCTTTTTGAAGAAATAAACCATTACAGAAGCACTTAGGGGTCCCCTGAATGGCTCTTTTGAATCTCATTCATCTTACCACTTTCATGAATTCACTGCTGCAGTGCTCTTACTACATATTTATGTACGCACAATCATCATAAAGAATTGTTCTGTAGGTTCTTAAACAAGGCATATCATTATACAGCTTAGATGTAGCTGTAGCTCTAATTTGATATCTGTCCCAGCAAGAACAATGTGGGTTTACATCATAAACATTGCTGTTGATATGCTTGTTGGATCAAAAAACAAAAAAAGAACCACCATAGGTGTCAAAAAAAGCATTCAGGGAAATCTTCAGTGCTTAATTTTCTTTTTAAAGGTGGGGATTGAGTGAGTGAGTAGGAGCAGAGAAGCTAAGAGAGAAGGAAAGTGACTTTTCATTGCTAGAAATTTCCATGTGTGAGATGTCTTATTGATCTTATAGCTTGCTGTTCTGAAGTCTGATATTATAGCAGAAATAGCAAGATCTGTACCCAGTGATTTGGATGACCCAGTGATTTGGATGACTGCTGTGTCTTGCTACTTGTTGTGTGACCTTGATAAAAATTACCACTCTTTTCTGGGCTTTAGTATCTCAACAATAATGTGAGGAGCTAAGTGATTTCTTCAAATTCTTACATCACTCATTTTCTCTAATGGTTCCTTCCTTCCTTCCTTCCTTCCTTCCTTCCTTCCTTCCTTCCTTCCTTCCTTCCTTCCTTCCTTCCTTCCTTCCTTCCTTTCTTCCTCCCTCCCTCTCTTCCTTCCTTCCTTTTTTCTGGTACTAGGATTTGAACTCAGAGTTTAGCTCCTGCTTGATTTGTTCAACTGATGCACCACCACCTGAGTCATATCTCCAGCTTGGCTTTTTGCTGCCTAATTGGACATGAAGTCTTAGAAACTTTTCTGCCTTTTTTGAACTATGATCCTCAGGATCTCAGCCTCTTGAGAAACTAGTATTACAAATGTGAGCCTCCTGTGCCTAGTTCGTTCCTTATTTGTTCCTTCCTTCTTTCTCTTTTTCTCTCTTTCTCTTTCTCTTTTCTATTTTTCCCTCCCTTCTTTCCTTCCCTCCCTCCCTCCCTTCTTCTTTCTTTCTTTCTTCCTTCCTTCCTTCCTTCCTTCCTTCCTTTCTTTCTTTCTTTCTTTCTTTCTTTCTTTCTTTCTTTCTTTCTTTCTTTCTTTCTTTCTTTCTTTCTTTCTTTCTTTCTTTCTTTCTTTCTTTCTTTCTTTCTTTTCTTTCTTTCTCTTTCTCTATCTTGGGCTTGAACTCAGGGTCTGGGCCCTGTCTCTGTGCTTTTGTGTTCAAGGCTGGAGCTCTATCACTTGGAACCAGAACTCAATTTCCAGCTTTTTTGGTAGTTAATTGGATATAAGAGACTCAGATGTTCCTGCCCAGGCTGGCTTTGAACTGTCATCCTCAGATTTCAGCCTCCTGATTAACTAGAATTACAGGCATGAGCCATTGGCACTCAGATCCATCTTTATTTCTTATATTCTATAGGTCAAGATGTCTTCTGTTTTCTTATTCTGAAACACAGTATCACTTGCTCTGCTCCCTCACTTCAAAAGTGCAGATCATAGTCCACATTCTCATACATGCCCTCCTACAGTTCTGGTTGCTCTGGGTTCTTACAAGCATGTCTTTGCTCTTTTTCATGGTCACTGTTCTGTGCAGTGGTGTTTCATTAAGGTTCTGCTTTTCATTTTTATTTTCTCTTTTTTGGTGCTGTTCCTGGGGCTTGAATTCAAGCCCTGGGCACCGTCCATGAGCTTTTTTGCTCAGAGTTCTTCTACCACTTGAGCCACAACTTTACCTCTAGCTTCTTGCTGGATGATTGGACAGAAGAGTCATACAGACTATGGAATTTTGTTATCCTCAGATCTCAGCCTCCTGTGTAGCTAGGATTACAGGTATGAGCCACCAGCGCCTGGTTCCCAAGTTTACAAGTTGTGCACTCTCTTCCTACACTGGGTCCCTTCACAGGCCCTTGTCAAGCCACCAACTCTTCTTATGTTGTTGTATAACAGGAACTTATTCTCAGACTTCTGGGGCCAGAAGTCAAGCAAGGACTAGATGGATGGGACCCAGGGAGGCTGTACAACCACCCTCAGGAAGAGCATCAACCAGTCATACAGACGATTGCATGAGAACAGGGGTTCTGGGCTACAGATCTTCCAGTTTCCAAGAAAGGCCAAGCATCTGGGTGATATTAAACATTCTGATTTCTAAGTGATATTGAGCATTTTAAACAGGCCAAAGAGATCACTGTGGGATTTCTCTAGCCTGTGGTTAAGCTTTGTCCTAGAGTAGGGAGCAGGCAGCCACTGCAAGTGCGGTTCTGGCACACTTACCTTACCTGGAACACAGAACTTCAGAGCCTCAGCTTTCAGCACTGAGGCAGAGTTTACATTGTATCAATATTCCATGTAACTCATGCATACAATAAAGTCTGAGAAGCACAGTTTACTTCTGTGGTTCTCAACCCTGAACAAATTAGAATCATTTCAGGAATAATAATAGTAAAATAAAACAGCTACTGTACTTGCTATAAACCTCCAGAATCAGAATCCCCTGAGACAAAACCAAGGTAGTTTAAATTTTGGATAGAGCACTTGCTCCACAGGTGCTTTATCATTTGAGTGACACCTCTAGCTCCGTTTCACTTTAGTATTATGTTATTTTGTTCTACTTAGCATGGACCATGATCCTCCTATTTATGCTTCTCATGTAGTTGGAGTGCCAAGGGCACACCACACTACACCTGGCTTTTTGTGTTGGGCCTGGTAAACTTTTTGCTAGAGTTGGCTTTGAACTACATTCTTCTGAATTTCTGTTTCCCAAATAGTTGGAATTAAAAGCATGAGCCACCAGACCTGATGAATTGGTACTAAAAGAAAACTATTGAGGCAATTCATATGGGCAGTTGGGATTTGGTAATATTAATTTGTGCCAGTCCTTCACTGATAAGTGGAGAAATTAAAAATCTCCCAGGTGGAGAGATCAAGTGTCTTGACCAAGGTCATTGACCGAGATGGTATGAGAACATCTGTCTTGTGCTCATTTTCACATCTAATGATTCTCAAGCCTGTGCTTTTTTTGCTTCAGTTGTTACTGGTTCCTGGAGGGGTAGAGCTCTTAAACGATCTTGTTCAACTGTAGTTCATTACTGCCATATTTCTGGCTAAGCTGCTTAGTTTTCAGCACTGAACAGCTAAGAAGATTTTCCGAGTGAAGAACCATGAGTTGAAGGGTCTCTCAATTTGTTTTATTCTCCTCACATATCACTGGAAATGGTGCTGAGTTTTCCCACTATGAAGAAAGAGCTACATCCCTCCCTGGATGTCAGAGGGCTCTGCAGAAGCACAGAATGGAGATGATGGTTCTTAGGTGTAGAATGAGGAGTGAGGGTCACCATTACCCAGTAGTGAGCACGACTGCTCCATGCTCCTTGCCCTCCTGGATTGTCACTGGAGGCACAGGTCCAGAATGTGGTAGTTCTTCACCCACAATTCCATGGGAAACTGAGGGGATTAAATGAGTGACCCATAAAGAGTAGTTGAGCCAAGATTCGGAATCTTTTCCAGGACCAGTGTAAGCTGTTAATATTCTGTCTGAGCAGTTTCATGGTCAAAAGGACATCGTCCACAGCAACCAGCAGTGTGTTAAGACTTGTGTTTCTTTGTTGCATTTTGGTGATACCCTAACTGATGCTCCATCCAATAGCAATCTTGGTGAAAGCCCTGTGTTCTTTTTTAATCTGCTTCCTTGTGTGCTTTATAGCTACATTCTCTTTTCTTTCTTTTTTTAAAATCAGATTATCTTTAAGTAGTTGTAAAAAGGAGTTTTCAATTCAACCAGTTTATTTGTACAATGTATCTCCATCAATATCACCCTTCCATTGTTCTACATTCTCTTTTCAAACTCCTTCTCCTCCTCCCCCCTTCCTTTTTCTTCCTTCCCTCCTTCCTTCCTTCCCTCCTTCCCTCCTTCCTTCCTTCCCTCCTTCCCTCCTTCCTTCCTTCCCTCCTTCCCTCCTTCCTTCCTTCCCTCCTTCCCTCCTTCCTTCCTTCCCTCCCTCCTTCCTTCCCTCCCTCCCTCCCTCCCTCCCTCCCTCCTTCCTTCCTTCCTTCCTTTCTTTTTCTCTTGTTTCATATTTCTTTCTCTTCCTTCTCTTCTTTCTCCGTCTCCCTCTTCCCTCCCTCTATCCTCCCCGTTCCTCCTCTTCTTTCTTAGAGTGTATGTGATGTTACTGGGGCTTGAACTTAGGGCCTGGCACTGTCCCTTAGCTTTTTGCTCAAGGCAGTCAGAGCCACAGCTCCATTTCAGGCTTTTTGGCAGTTAACTGGAGATAAAAGTGTCATGGACTTTCCTGCCCAGAATGGCTTTGTATGGTGAATTCAGATCCCAGCCTCCTGAGTAGTTAGGATTACAATCTTCTGCGATCAAAATACCATCCCCTATCTCCTGTGGCCTGTGTCCAGACCTTCTCTGTCTCCATTTCTGTAGCTACAGATAGAAACGTTTAGGAGAACTAGGAGGAGAGAGGCTCTGGAGAGGACTCCATTTAGTGGCCAGACAGAAGAACAGTCTGGGGACCATAACAGCCAGAGAGCATAAGGACACAATCTCTAATGATGCCATTTGCCCTCACCTCACTCCAACCTCCTGTTAGCTATTCAATTGGTTTAAACTTGCTGGAGTCCACTGGCTCTACTATCTAGAAAGCCATGGAATTTATTGGACCTGTGTGTGGGAATCTGATCTTTTCATAAAATGAGGACACTCAGGCGGTTGCAGGATCGAGGCAGGATGTATGACAGTTCTTTGCTGACAGTTGACTACAAAATACTTTTAGGCCAATAGTGAGAAAATGATGAATTCTTCCATCTTCTCTCCCTCAGACCTGGACAGACAAAAATGTGTCATCTATGCTTATAACTTGCTTTCATCCTTACCAATGATCTCTCATTTTATCTTCTCCAGGTAGAGAAGGCCCTTTCAAGAGTTCAACCATATCAAGCCAGAATATTCCCTCATCTGAATATGAGGAAAAATGTTTCCCGAGGCAGAAAATGACTCAAGGTATCTAATTCCCACTCAAGTGTTATTTTCATAAATACTTTCTGTGTAAACTATGTAACTCTCTATCTTTCTCATCTGTAGAACCTCTGACTTTTATCTGCCTTTCCAGGTGCCATACTAAACTTTGTGTGTGTGTGTGTGTGTGTGTGTGTGTGTGTCTGTGTGTGTGTATGCACGTGCTTGTGCACCCACATCAATACTGGAGTTTGAACTCGGAGTCTGGGTGTTATCCCTTAGCTTTTTTGTTCAAGGTTAGCACTCTGCCACTTGGGTCACAGCTCTACTTCTGACTCTTTTTTTGGTGGTAGTTAATTGGAAATAAGAGTCTCAATGATTTTTCTGCCCAGTCTGCCTTCAAACTGTGACCCTCTGATCTCAGCCTCCTGAGTAAGTAGGAGCATGAGCCATGAGCTCCTGGCTCCCAGATGCCTCTTTGTAAGCATGACTTTATGATATTGGCTAGCTTGCTCATAAAACTTCGTAGGCTAGTGCTCAAAGGTCTTCAGAGTCTGCTGCATATGAGGAACTCTGTGTATATACTGTGAGTTAGAGAAAGTATGTAGAAAGTATATAGAAAAAGTCTACAGACAAAGGTGATGGGTACAGAGCTAATTTAGAAATAATTATATATTCAATATGATACCTGTAAAGTTGTTTATATGCAGTTGGTACTCAGACAATGTTTGAAAAATTAAATATAGGAATCATTTAATGAACACATGGAGGTCATGTTTGCATTCCATATCATGCCAAATAAAGTCCTATATACGTAGTAGGCTTTGAACTAGTAGTTGTAAGAGGCAAATATGTAAGATGAGATTGGTTGAGCAGAAAGGAGTTTGTATGATTCTTTCAGGAGCAGAAAAAAAAACCCAATTTGAAATCAGTGTGAGAAAAGTCTTAATACATTTCTTGTGAGGTCATCTCTAGGAAATTCCAATGAAATCAATAGTGGAAAATTGATAAGTGGGATGCCACATATTTGCAATCACTACTTGGGAGGCAGAGGCAGAGCAAAGTTAGTGAGACCCTGTGTTGAAAACAAATAAAACCAAAGAGGGCAGGGGCATAGTGCAAGTGATGTTGTGTTTGTGCCCTGGGTTCAATCCCACGCACAAGACCCTGATTCAAGCCCAAATGGTGCAAAAAAATTGTTAGTAGTAATCATTACACTTGGAAACCCTTGTACCAGAAACTCTTAGGATAAGCCTGTGACAGAGCAGGGAGGTTTAGTTTGCCATTTGGATAGTTATAACATCATTTCAGGGCGATGCTACATGATCAGTATAGGCAGACAGGCTGCAGGCAGCTGACCAGAAGTATTATGTGTCTTTTCTGTCATCTACCAAATGTTTTTGAGGCCTTCTATGGCCTGTCAGGGATGGGGAATGCAAAGAACTTGGTTTCTGATATACAGTAGTTGGAAACCATTTTTGGAGAGTAAATTGTGCCAAGTGATTTGCCACCTGTCTTCTTCTCTTGACTTACCCATCTCTAGGTGAAGGCACAAAGTCTTTAATTGGAAAACTGCCAACCCAGGGATGGAAATGACGCCATAGCCACACAGTCCACACAGAATGAGGAGGGAGTTCAAATCCCAGTCCTTGTTCATAACTACTATAGTTCAAAGATTCTCCAAAATTCTACTTTTGCCCCCTCTGTGTTAATCTGATTATCATCTGTTAGCTTGGAACATCCTAGGAAAAAATCCCCTCAACTGCATTACCATCTGTTGTTTTCTGAATGCAGTGTCAGCGTTTTGTCTTATTAGTGCATGAAAGGCAATGAACAAGCAATACCTTTAGGCAAACAAAACTGACTTCACTCTGAACTTGTCTGTCATTCAGCATTTTCCTCCATGATGCTCCTTCTGGGAAGGTCACAGTGTGAGACAGGTTCTAACCACTAACCTTTTCTATGAAGCTCAGCTCCAAACACAATCAATTAGATACACAATTGCAATTGCATAACTGCCTTCCAGAAAGACTAAAAACCTAAGACATAATGCACTTCACACTTAAACTGTGACAAACTTGAATTGCCACCTCATCTGGCAATGCAGGGGTATTGTAGGATCCCACCACACCTACCAATTTTCAGTGGTTAGTATCTCGGAGTTTGCTCACTTATACCTAAAGTCTTTTGTGTTTCATAAACATGAACTCAGGGGCATAACAAGGGTGCTTACACTAAGGTTAGCAGGAACTATTCCAAGGAGATACGGTTTTGAAATGCAGGAGAAATGGAGTTTTGTGGAAAAGAATCAGAATCAGCTATTATCAAGGTTAATAATTAACAGCAGATGCAACCAGTCATGAGCAATAATTGCTGAAGTACCAGGGAAGGGGCAGGGAGACACAGCTAGTGCTTAATGTGTGTACAGAACATTGAACATGTGCCAGGCTTATTGGATTTAGTAGAACCTTTAAAGCTTCATAGGGTAGGCCCCATCAAAGCCACTTCACTAATAGGAAAAGTCAAGTGTGGAGAGGTACCTAGTAGCCCTAGGTGGTGATTTCGGAACAGAGCCAAGTCTTGTGCATGAGTCTGTGTGACTACTGCCTGGACATCATCTTGGGGGTTGTTCCTCCTTTTGGAGGTCAACATGTGGTAAGGCTACTTGAGGGGGGCTGAGTAGGGGTTGCCAGAGGGGTCAGGACTGGGTGAGATTGGAGCAAGGCCAGGGAGGAAGCAAAGGGAGAAAACACCCACCTGTAGTTCACATTAAAGTCAGGTTGGCTGGAGCACGCTGTGCCAGAGCTGACCTGTAGCCATAGCACTTATAGGACTTCTGAAAAAGCTAAAGACAGACTTGGTAAGGATGGTGTTCCAGGGACTGCCCTGTGGACCCATGCTTGTGTGATAGGGCCATTTCAAACAGGAATTTGCAAAGACCTTGGCAAGTTGGAGCTAGAAGGCAGATCTTTGTGATTATCTGGTCCAATGCTTTCTCTGTTTATTCTGCTGGAAGATTATTAACAAGATTGACATTGGTTGTCTCGAGGAGATGCACTTGAAAAGACAATGACTATGTAAAATGAACCATCGCAGCACGACCTGTGCAAACAACACCATCCAAACGCATATCCCACCTCCAAGCTGCCCTATCACTCACTGCTTTGGGACCCTATTATACTTTTCTATGTCTAGAAGAAATGTATTTATGGAATTACTTACTTGCCAAACAGAGTTCGAGCTCTGTGATTACAGCCAATAGGTACAGTCAGACATGAGCAATGGAGATATTTAAAGGGAAATTCAAACGGAGAATATTTAATTCTCTATTTCTCTGTTGTTTTTTTTTCTCTCTATGATGGTCTGCTTTCTTACACGCTGCAAGCTAAATCTTATCTAGATTTAAACTTCTGCTCCATAGCCTTGTAAAAGTGATAGGTAGAGAAGAGGTCTCACGTGAATTGATGAGAACAAATGCCTGATATTGGACCCTCCTCATGATTAACTTTGCCCTGAAATATCACTCATTATGTCCTCTTGTACCGGCTTTCAACAGCTTGAATTGGGTTATTTTGGTCAGCAGTTGCTCTTTGTTCATTATTATATCATTATAATCTCATTGTGTTTTAAATTTTCTGTCTCCTGATCCAAAGCAATTTGTGTGTGTGTGTGTGTGTGTGTGTGTGTGTGTGTGTGTGAGTGTATGCGCTCATGCACGCACGCATGTGCGTTTGGATTTGAACTCAGGGTCTCATGTTCTTACTTGGATTTTTCCCTTAAGGTTGCCACTCTATCTCTTGAGCTACTTATCTACTCCTGGCTTTATTTTGTTAGTTGGAGATTAGAGTCCCTTGGATTTGTTTGCCTGGACTGGCTTGAGATTACAAGCCTCAGATCTCAGCTTCCTGAGTAGCTAAGATAACAGGCATGAGCCATCACTGCCCAGGTAGGAGTGATTCTTGAGATACTTGTATTTCTTGCACAAGTTTAATATCAATCAGTCTGTAGGCTTGTCTTAGGCAGGAAAACTTGATGTTCCTGCTTCCTAAAACCTCAATAGAAGCCAGTGTTCAGATGGACACATTGGTTATTTTCAATCTCTGTTGCTGATAAGACTCACACTAACCTCTGAAAGTGTCTTTTCTATTTTAATAAATGCATTTGGAGTCTTGTCTCGATTCTCTTTCTCTCTCTGGCCTGAGAAAGGATGACAGGGACCATGACTCCCTCCTCTGCTGTATCCTCAGCCCCTAAAACAGTGTGGGCTCTAGTGAGGCTCTCAATGAACATTTGTTACATGAAAGTAGAATATGAAGAAATGAGAGACTGATTGTACTATATAAGCTTGTCATCCAGACAAACACCTCTGGATGGAACATCCAATCAGAAAAACGTATGTATATAATGCATAAAATATGTAATTGGTTGCATAATCATATAAACATACTTCTTTAGTTATAGGCAAAATAGAATTGATTCAGAACTTTCACAAATCCTCCCCAGAAAGCAATACATGGCCATATCTGTGCCAGCGCTATCGCAGAAATAACCACTGTGTGTGCACCACCTCGAGCCTCTGCAGAACCCCATATGCTTCAGCAGCCTCCATATCCCTGAGAAAGACACTTTAAAGGGACTCTTGGAGGAGCCCAGAGCCCAGTACCTGGGCACTGTCCCTGAGCATTTTTTGCTCTACTTCTGGCTTTTTCTGTTTAATTGGAGATAGGAGTCTCACCAATTTTCTTGCCTGGGCTGGCTTGGAATTATAGTCCTTAGATTTCAGCCTCCTGAGTAGCTAGCATTACAGGTGTGAGTCACCAATGCCCGGCTCCTTGGAGGATCTTTAAGATCACTTCAATCTGTAATTAATGAGGACATCAATTTAAAGTGGTCAATCTTTATTCTGCTAGGGGCTATTTGGATATTTCTAACATCATTATGAGCCATACAAAATTATCAATATAGCAGAATAAACATCCTGTGTGCATGTACCAAATGATTTCCTGGCCTTATTATATGGACCAGACCTATATATTGAAGGTCAATATATATAAATATATATATATTTCTCTTTTGTTGCTGTGCAGCCTGATGTTTCCCTCTGTGTTCTGTTCAGATCTGATGCTCTCCTTCAGTGTAAAGAGCCGCTCACGGAGATGTGTGAATGGACCCTTGCAGGAAGCTGCTCGGAGGCGTCTCTGGGCGCTGGAGAACCAAGACCAGGATGTGCGAGCCCTGTTCAAAGTGAGTGTTGGCAAAGAGAATACATTCTGACCATTGGCCTTGTGTCCCGACACTGCAGCATCTCTAGGACCTTGGACAGCACCCAGAACAAAGTAGGCCCTCAAGAAAACATCTGGTTGACACTGTGAATGAACAATTATGTACACATTCTTGAAGAAATATGGACACAGTTTTTGCTTCACAGTAGTGAGCAGAAATTCTAAACAAGGCAACCTGGAGTTGCTGAGTTAGAGAGAACTTGGTTTTGCCCAATGATCTTGGGAGAGTTACTTCAATTCTGGAACAAAATGGTTAGAATAACAGCCTTATTCTCTAATGTATAGCATTTGAATTATTTTTTGTTACAGTGGCACAAGACACATAACTTTTTTCTTTTGGGGGTCCAGTCGTGGGGCCTGAACTCTGGGCCTGGGCACTGTCCCTCAGCTCTTCAGCTCAAGGCTAGCGCTTTACCACTTGAGCCACAGCGCCACTTCTGGCTTTTTTCTTTTTTGCTTATGTGGTGCTGAGGAATCGAACCCAGGGCCTCAGGCAAGCAAGGCAAGTGCTCTACCACCTTCCCAGCCCCACACATAACATTTTTTATTGCAATCATTTAAAAATATTTAATTCGTTTATGACATTTATCTGCAGAACTTTTTACCATCCCAGATTGAATCTCTCCACTCATTAAATAATAATCCTACTATTCTGTCCTTCCCACATGTCAATAACCATTAAACATGCATTTATTTATTTATTGACTGATGGTGTTAGTAGTAGGGCTTGAACTCAGGGCTCTCCTTTAACTTTTTTGCTTGATCCATCCTCTATTCCTGTTTTTTCTTTGCTGGTTAGTTAGGATAAGGATTTTCCAACTTTGCCTGGGCCATATGATTAGGAGCCATAATTATGAGCCAAATTATGAACCATAATTTGCCAACCTTAGCCTCTTAAGTAGTTCGGAGTGAGCCACCAGCATCTAGTAGTATTTATATGTTAAAGGAAAAAAATTGCCAGTTAAAATATGATAGTAAATATTGGCATGATGGGAAAATACAATAGAATAAACAAATTTCAGTTTTTTGCAGTGGATATATAATATCTTTAATTATTACATTGCATTGCTATAACCTAGCCAATGATTTACAGTCTAGGAGCTACTAACTAGGAGTCAGAAACGGAAACAGTTTTCTAGAATAAGTGGTAGGGAAGGGAATATTGATTCTTTTGCTCAAGGCTAGTGCTCTATCACTTGAGCCACAGTGCCACTTGTTTTTTTTTTTTTTTCTGAGTAGTTTATTGGAGATAAATGTTTTATGAACTTTCTTGCCTAGGCTGGCTTTGAGCCAGGATCCTCAGATTTCAATCTCCTGAGTAGCTAGGATTACGGGTGTGAGCCACCAATTGTGCTTGACCTCGAAGTTTTTAAATCTGCATTAATTTGGTTAAAAACTGAACAAAGGTAGTGTCTAGTTTGTCAGAAGGAGAAGAAGAGATTGTACCTGTAGAAAGCTTGGTAATTGTGCTTCAGTGAGTAATTTGTAATGGTACCTAAGGGACTTGCATTTTTATTTTATTCAGTGTGGAATTCAGGAACTTAGAGACCAATGTCCAATCAAGGCCCTGCTTACTCACTTCAGATGACTGTGAATAAATTATTTCACATCTCAGTGCCCTGGTCATCTTGAATATAAAACTGGGATGATACTAATTTTAGATGTGAGATATCTTTAACTTAACATGCATCATTCTTCTATGTGCCTCCAAGAGAAAAATAAATGCTGCTAGTTAGGTATGACTGCATGCTTCCTTACTTTTAATTTCAGAATCAGTTAGATATTATAAAAAGTGCATCTTAGAATAGATAAATTCTGTAATTGCACTTTCTTCCTAGGGCTATAGTGGGTGTTACATGAAATGAAGTGTCACTTCTAGGGCTCTTGGTGCGGTGCCTGGCATTTAATAAATTCTTTTTAAGTCAACTTTTACCTGCCTCCTCTTGTTTGCAAGATCTATGTCCTCTGAAGATCTGGGGCTTCTTTGGTGTTTCCTGTGGAAAAATCAGAACCACAGTGTCAAAATTAGACCCACAGAGTTTGACTTTGCTGAACTATAGGCCCTTCTTTCCGTATTCTTTCTTTTCTTAGGTTTTTCCTAAAGGTAAGGGTCTCAGGCAGGATCTGTCTGGAGGAGTCATGTTCTATCACTACAGTCAACTCTGGTTCTGTAGGCAACCAACAGAGAAAGACTGAAACCAAGTCTCGGAAGTGGTTTAAGTCCTTTCATCCTTAGAAACTACCACTATCACCACCACTACTACTAAAAAGAAGAATAAAAATAAAAATAAGAACATATTTTCAGGGCTGGGCACTGGTGGCTCTGCTTGTAATCCTAGCTGCTCAGGAAGCTGGGATCTGAGGGTTTTCAATCAAAGTCAGCCTGTGTAGGAAAGTCTATGAGATTTTTATCTCCAAGTAACGAGCAGAAGGGCTTAAATGGAGCTGTGGCTCAGCTGGTAGAGTATCAGCCTTGAGTGAAAAAGTGTTCAGGCCCTGAGTTCAAGTCCAATGGTTCTATTTGGTAGTGCATATTTAGAGCCTACATTAGTACACAGAGAACTTTATCTTTCTTTATAAAGACTGCACAATGTCATAATATCCCACTCCATATGTGAGCAATACTTCCTTTTAGTTACTCTCTTGTTGATTACTGTTTAGATTATTCCTATTGGATTTTATAAAAATATGAAATCAATGTGTACTCAAGAAGTTCTCTTTACCCAGGTCTATCTGTTTTCCTGCAAATGATGTAATATTCTTCCTGATAGATGAGTAAAATTCTGATGTGTGTGTGTGTATGTGTGTGACATTTTCTTGATCCATTTGTCCATTGAGTGACATCTTCTGTTTTCATAAGTTAATGATAGTGAACAGTGCAGCAATGAACATGGTTGTACAAGACTTTACTGAATCATGACTTGTAAGAGTGGTGTCTCTTGGATCACAAGGTAGTTCTCTTCAGTGGTGTCTCTTGGATCACAGGGTAGTTCTTTTCTGGGCAATCTCCAAGTGCCTCCACAGTGGTTGCACCAGTTTACATTCCCACCAACAGTACTAGGGTCCCATTCCCTCTACATCTGTGCCAGCATCTATTGTTGTTTGTATTCTTGATAATGGCCATTTTAACTGGGGTGAGATGGAATCTCAGTGTTTTGATTTGTATTTTCTTTATGGCTAGAGATGTTAAGAATTTCTTCATTTCTTCCTTTTTACTTATTGTTCTGAGAAGTCTCTACTTGTCTTCCTTTTGCCCATTTATCGATTGGGTTAGTGATTCTCTGAGGGTTTAGTTTCCTCACTTCTTCGTATATTCTGGATATTATGTCCTTGTCTGACGTATAGCTGGCAAAGATTGTCTTCCATGCTGTAGTCTGTCATGTTAAGTAAAGTAAGTCAGACTTAGAGAGACAGAGGACATGTTTTCTCTCACATGTGGATGTTAGAATTAAATTATATGCATGTGTAAGCACATATATTTATATGCATATATACAAGTATATTAACAAAAGTGTACTATATGTAAGATGATTCCAATGGGATAACTTTTGTTAAACTTACAGTTTAACAAAATGTAAACTAGGAATCTGGAATAAACAAGAGAGGGGATGTCAAAGGGTAGGGGGGTAGACAGAGAGACGAAGAGGGTGAATGCAGTCATATAATCAATGTACATATGTGAACATGGAACTAGGAAAACTGAGTGTATGGATGGGGTTGGGAGAGATTGGGGAGAATTATGAAAGTGGTGACTTTGATCAAGATGCATTGTACACATAAATGGATGTGTTGAACTGAAACTCCTTTGTACAAGGACTTAAAAGATAATTTTATACACAGGAAGTTCTCATTAGTTCACAGGTGAGTTTTTATTTTAGAGAATACAATTTTAATATTATCAACAGAACTTCTTTGGCCAAGTTAGTAGTAGCTGAATAGCATTGCAAAATGTTACTCAGTAACTGACTTAGCTTCTAAACTGAGCCAGAATCACATACTCTGAATATTACTTGAGTATATACAAGTATATCTCATGACCACATGCAGAGACATGAAACAAGAGGATTGTAAACATAATTTTAAACAGTATACCTTTGCCATCCCAGGCTGACTCAGTGTTCTTTCCACTTAGGACCTGTCTGCAAGGCTGGTGAGTATCCAGTCCCAGAGTGCCCAGTTCTGCATTACCTTCAAGACAATGGAGGAGATCTGGAAGTTCTCAACCTACCTAAAATTAGGTATGACATGGAACAGGCAAGTGAAGGAGGACAAACTTCACAGTTTAGTCAGTTGGCTGGGCTTGATACTAAAGAGTCTGTCTGATTATGATAACTTAAGGATATAGACCCCTAAGGTGGATGGGAAACTTTTGAAATATCACAGACTACTCAACACTAAATTCAGAGAAAATAAGTTGTTTTTGTTGTGGTACCTGGCACCATTTTTAAAAATTAGCTTTTCAATCATCAACTGGAAAGAAAACATTCTTGAGTAAAATGAAAAACAGCAGAGCCAATATTATTACTTTAACATGTCATGTAAAGAGATCACTTTCTTTTGTCCCGGGACAACTATCTTTATAAGGTATCTGATCAATTGGCAAGTATTTTGCTTACCTACTAACTTGATAATGACATAGACATGAGCTTTTTTTTTTTTTTTTTCACAAAAAGAGAAGTAAATAAGACCAAGTACCTTCTCCAAATATTGAAGCTCTAGATGCCTTGGAAAGGAGACAAAGAAAGAGATAGAGAGTAATCTATGCTCAAATGACCTTGGGCTACAAGGCTTGCTAGAAAGTAAAGAATGAAATTGAGACACAGTGATAGTAGCTCTGTGATGAGAAATGCTTCATGTACCTGCTTGAGAGGATAAAAACTCATGATAAGGAAGTCATGGTTTCAAAGCCAAACCAAGCCATGCCAAGCCAAGCCAAGCTAAACCATACAAAAGCCACCTGATTTCCTGAACATTTGCCACATACCAGAAAATACAGGGCTCCAAGCAGACATACACAGGGCAAGATGCTCTGCCAGGCTGAAGGGTCAAGATGATCCTTGGCTAGAGGTGTAACTTCTTGAGTAGTCATGGTAACTTTTTTCTTTTTTTTAAAGTTGTATTGTAAAGGTGATGTATAGAGGTGGTACAGTTACATGAGTCAGGTAGTGGATACCTTTCCTTTTGAACAGGGTCACCCACTCCCTCATTCTCTCCCAGTTTCCCCCCCCTGACTTCACTCCCCCAAGTTGTATAGTTCATTTCCAAGATAGTGTCCTGTGGGTTTCACTGCTGAATTGGTTCACCCTCTGTCCCACTGTTTTTGTGCTTCCCCTTCCACTCCCCAAATCAGATAAACTTAGATACAAGACAAAGTCTACATAAATAAAAAATAGTGACAGAAGGAAATAAATCAGAGGAAAGAAGAAAATAAAAGGAAAAAAGAACCACAAACAGTACAATAAAAACATCTTGTTTTCATTTCTTGCAGTTTGTTTTGATAAGCATCATTTTATATGTTCTTATGCACATAGCTATTGAGTCCTTGGGATCCTCTCCTAATATTATGCTCTTTTGTTTTCACTGTGTGAATGTTTACACTGCTGTTTAATTAATAATGTTCAAGTGTAATGTAATCATTTTTTTTTTTTACTATCTATTGGGTTTCTTGTAGATTTATAGGCACATTCTAATGATTACAAATGAGGGAAACCATACAGCCTAGGTTTCTTTGGGTCTGGCTTACTTCACTTAGTATAATCTTTTCCAAGTCTTCATTTCTTTATGAATGGGGCAATGTCATTCTTTCTGATGGAAGCATAGATTCCATTGTATGTATATAATATTTTATTGACATATATATATAATATTTTATTGATCCATTCATCCACGGAGGGGCATGTGGGTTGATTACATATCTTGGCTATGGTAAATAATGTTGCAATGAACATGGTTGAGCTGGCGACTTTATTGTAGCCTGGTTTGTGGTCAATTGGATAGATGCCCAGGAGTTTGCTGGGTCATAGGGAAGCTCTATGTTTAGTTTTTTGAGGAACCTCCATACTGCTTTCCAGAGTGATTGCACAAGTTTACATTCCCAAGTCATGGTAATTTTTCTGCTCTCCACTCTCCACATCTCCTGGGACCACCAGAGTTCTTCAACATTCAGATTATGTTTCTTGGGCCAGTTCATATGTGGCACGAAGTACACAGGCCCCACCTAGGACTTGTCAGAAAGTGGAATTTCAGGCTCCTCTTCAGACCTTCTGAATGAACACCTGTGTATACATAATAAGATTCCCCATATGTGAACTTTCAATTATGGAAGGACACAGGCCAATCAATGCAGTGGGCAGTCTGAATGGAAAGAGACAGGTTCCTGAATCATGTGAAAGAGAAGAAGCCTCTGATGAAGCAAACATGAAATATAAATAATTCATATGTAGACATATGTATAGTTACATATATATTACTGAATTTTATAATTGACATAGGTTTTAGTTTTCTTTTCTTTTCTTTTCTTTTTTTTTGGTTAGTCATGGGGCTTGAACTCTGGGCCTGGGTGCTGTCCCTCAGCTCTTCAGCTCAAGGCAAGTGCTCTACCACTTGAGACACAGCACCACTTTTAGTTTTCTGGTGGTTTATTGGAGATAAGAGTCTCTTGGACTCTCCTGCCCTGGCTGAATTTGAACCACGATCCTTAGATTTCAGCCTTCTAAGTAGATAGGATGACAGGCATGAGCCACCGGCACCTAGCTTAATTTGCTTTTTTAATAGGACAGGGCTTACTGACCGTTAGATGAGTGCTGGGGTTGGAGTTGGGGAGCTGAAGCAGAAGCTGAAGAAAAGATCCTGACTCAGGGGATTATGGAGAATCTCTTCAGCTACTGTAGCAACAGAGCACAAAAGTTTTAATCTCAGGATAGAACTTGAAAGGAAGACCAGGACCTGTTAGAGTCAATATTATAAACTCCTTGATTGTGTTAGACAATGATCACTGGGTTTGGTCATCGCACTATGCCTTGATGGAGCCCACATTATGCTGAAAATGGTAAAAATCTTTTATATATGGCTTGTATTTTAGAGGAACCAATTCATTCTAAAGAGTTTTTTGCAAGTCTTTCTTTCCTACTTTTCTGTTTCTAGTTAGATCGCAGGTTGGAGAGGGGATCTGGTGATCAAGAGCAAGTTTAGGTGGGAGGTCCCTTTTGTGGTCAGCCAAGGAAAAATCTCATCTTGCTTAGGAATCTTGGTTTGGCTTCTAGGCTATGTGTCCACGTGCCTGGAGTACCTCCTTTTTGATCACAAGTACTGGCTCAACAGCAGACTGGTGGAGGACACGGAGATCCAAGTGTCTATCGACGACAATCACCTGGAAAACATGTACATGGGCCTCCTCATACAGGAAGGTTAGCATGGCCTGGGGTGAAGATGGGGTCGTATCTGGATGGCTGTTATTGGAGTCCTTAAAAAATTAGTACACTGCCGGGCGCTGGTGGCTCACGCCTGTAATCCTAGCTACTCAGGAGGCTGAGATCTGAGGATCGCGGTTCAAAGCCCGCCCGGGCAGGAGAGACTGTGAGACTCCTATCTCCAATAAACCACCAGAAAACCGGAAGTGGTGCTGTAGCTCAAGTGGTAGAGTGCTCGCCTTGAGCTGAAGAGCTGAGGGACAGCGCCCAGGCCCAGAGTTCAAGCCCCACGACCGACAAAAAAAAATTAGTACACCAAGAGAGGCAAAGTTATTGAAACATGAAAACGTTTACAACTGACACACCTATTACAACCATATTTCAAGTATCTTGCTTGGGCATACCACAAACACCACATGAATGGCGGTGTTGGTCAGTATCATTGAGTTGTTAGACTTCTTAGAGTGTTACAAAGATGCCCTTTCCAGGGCTTTTCTTAGACCAATTAAGTTACTAGAGGTAAGGACTTTGGCATTAAAAAAAATAAAGGCAGTTAGGTGCAACGACTCATGCTTGTAATTCTAGCTACTCAGGAGGCTGAGATCTGAGGCTGGCTGTTCAAATCCAGCCTAGGGAGGAGAGTATTAAGAATTTTATCTCCAATTAGCTACCAAAAAGCCAAAAGTAGAGCTGTGGCTTAAATGGTAGTGTGTCAGCTTGAGCAAAAAAACTCAGGGTCAATCTAGGACCTGAGTTCAAGCCACAGTAACAGCACAAAAAATATAAAATAAAAAAGCCAAAAGATTTCCTGTATTCTAATGACACCCAAGACTGAGAAACACTAAACATGTGATATAATTGGGCTATAAAATAAAATACCAATACCTGAACTATTTTATGAAATGGATTAAAGTAATGATAGAGTTTCTTGATTGCTTTACAAGGGATGATGCCATCAGACTAGAGGATGGTCCAATATGAGGACTTAATTGACACATTAAAGGAGCCAGATTTGCAAGATACATTTGAAAAAGTAATTGTCTTTTTGTTGCAGTGTACAAATCATTTAGGAGGGAAAGAATTTTATGTTTTGCTATTAGAAAATTTGGAGTAATTCTATTTCTCTGTCTCAACTTAATTCCTTGTCATTTCTAAGATTAAGTATAAAGTTGCAACAATTATAAATGAAGTCTTATTTAATGCAAATATCTTTTTGTAGGCTTTGTTTCACTCTTCTTTCAAGGTAAGGTCCCTGTGAAGCCTTGTCCTCACAAGTAATACAGAAATGCTAGTGAATTGTTTCTCAAAGGCTTTTTTTCCTATTGGTTTTCTCAGGATCACAAGGCCCTCTGGCCCTCTCCCTGGCTTTTGTCTCTCTGTTCTGGACAGAAACCTAATCTGGTATGATAAACCCTTTTCATTTCTTGCTACTTCTTGGAAAGGGCTTATCTCCTCTTTTACAGGTCACTTCGTCTGCAGAGCCACATGCTCCGTGGTCCCACTTGCTGAGAAGGATGGGGAGTGTTTGACACTTTGCAAGAATGAGTTAATCTCAGTCAAGCTGTCTGAAGATGAAGCTGAGTGGGAAGGTGTGTCCTTAGTGACGGGCCAGCGGGGTCTGGTGCCAGTGTCAGCCTTGGAGCCTCTGCCTGTCCCTTTCCATCAGTAAGTAGCCCCCTGTGTGCTAAGAGAAGGTCTCAGTCTACACCAAGGTCTACACAAATCAGAGTTGGCACACTTTTATTTATAGGCCTCCATGTGTTTGGACAAGAACAAAATCCAGGTGTCTTTTTCTTTTCTTGATTATCACAGTCAAGACTGGACAAAATTGGAAACAACTCTAAATTTCAGATGGGCTTGGTATACAGGATTTCCAATACAGTGTTTCCCAATGGAGGCTGCTTGTGCCTCATTATTCGGGACGTTACTACACAGTCAAGCTTCCTGGTCCTCTTTTGGTTCTCAGAGTGTAGCCTAGGAAATTGGCATTGTCTGTATGTATTTATTTTTGAGACATTGTATTTATTTATTTAATGTACTTTTGAGACAGCTGCACTATATAGTTCAGGTTGCCCCAAGTTCCTGAGTGACAGGATTATTGTGTGGGCTAGAAATCTACATTAAAGGAATTTCTCAAGGGCCTTTTTTTTCCCACACTGAAATTTATGAATCCCTATTGGAAGCTACTGTAAACTCAAATATCCAGGGTGCTAACAAACGTCCCAGGCCATGGACTCTGGCTTGGGTTTTTCAGAGCATTGGATTGTAGAAGTATTGTTTGTTAGTTATATAACTGGGATTGTAGAAGTATTGTTTGTTAGTTATATAACTGACAAAGTAATGGTAGAACCAGAAAATGCTCCAGATCTGTTGAACTTGTCTCCTTTTCACAGTGCCTAGTATAAGTTCTCAATAAGTGTTATAAAAATAAGTAATGATACCACCATCGTCATTCTTTTTCTAATGGATGACTCTGCTTGCCGTTCTAAATTTTGAAATCCATCTTTGTAAACTTCATGTTTCCACTGACAGATGGTTCCTAAGGAATTACCCAGGAAGCTGTAGCCTTTTCAGGAAGAGGGATTGGACAGGCTCCTATCAGATTGGTATGGCTAAAGTCAAAATCATTGTTTTGCTGGGCAGATGGTGTTGTCTTGCTTCCTAATTTCAGCTGCAGGTTTGGGTCAGTCAGTGTGAACTCCTGTCTTGTCTCAGTTACTGTCTGCACACTTGGGTTTCCTTGCCTGGGAAATAAGAGGCCTTCATCCAAGGCAGCAGGAACAAATGCCTTTAGAGGCATGCAGATATTTAGAGGCCTGGATGACAATGGTAAGGAACAGTAGAGATGGCAGGGATTTAAAGATAAATAGGTGAGGTCTTCCTCTACTCCTGTGTAGGCCAAATGAAATATTCTGTGAGCCAAATGTAGTCTGTAGGCTGCCTGTTTACAACTTCTAGCTAAAACATTTTCTAATTGGCTGTAGAGTCATGGGAAATACACCTTGAATTTAGGAAGAATATGAATACATGATACCACAGAGAGCATACAATAAATGTTTGTTGTATTAATAAGTGATACACACCATCTCTATTTATATGTACATATATGTAGTCATATAGACCTATATGCATCTCTATCTACAAATGTACGTATATATTTAGCATGTCATCTTCATCCTTATAACTCCCCTACCATGTTACAACTCTAGAAAAAAGTGCAACCAGGCTGGGTGTGAGTGGTTCATGACTGTAATCATGAGGCTGAAACCTGAGGATTGCGGTTCAAAGCCAGCCAGGGTATAAAAGTCAATGAGACTAATCTCCAATAAACTTCTTAGGAAAAGTTGGAAGTGGCGCTCTGGCTCAGGTGGTAGAGTTAATAGCCATGAGCACAAAGAGGCTCAGGGACAGCACCCAGGCCCTGATTTTAAGCCCCAGGACCAGAAAAAAACACCTCCCAAGACAAACAAACAAAAAACAAAAAAAACCCAAAACTAAGAGGAATTATGAAATGCAAACATTGGAATGAATCAATAATTAACCACAAACAAGATGTCTAGCTCTATTTAGTCTTATAGTTGAGACCATAGTGTGTTATAGTCTATTCTGGGTTCAAATTCTGGCTCCCAAACTTAAAAACAGTGTGAATTTGTCCATTCACTTGACTTCACTGCAGTGCTATTTTCTCATCAGTCAAATAATTCTGCAAATCACTAATCCTGTTCTCTCATTGTACAGCCTAACGCATGGTATCTCCTGCTATCCCACACAGTAGAGCGAATGTCTGATCTTGAAGATATAATCAATAGAAGCTTAACTAGGAATGGCAGAAAAATGATGAGCCTGTCCCATTTGTAGAAAAGCAAAAGCAAATATAGAAACTAAGTCACATAGAAGCCATTGTCCCCACCAGAGCAGGAGGGTAGCTGCTATTCAGTTTTGCTTCCACTTCTTTATCCAGAAAAAAAGGGGTTGCAATGGGTGCACTGCCTTGCTTCTTAGGGATTTGGGGAAATGTGAGAAAATGGACAAAATTTGCTGTGTTCACTGGTCTGTAGGATGCTCAAAAAACATTGTTATTAGCCCAGTGCTGGTGGCTTACACTTGTAATCCTAGTTACTTTGGAAGCTGAGATCTGAGGATCATGGTTTGAAGCCAGCCCAGGCAGGGAAATCCCTGATCCTCTTTTCTCCAATGAGCCACCAAAAAACCAGAGTGGCTCACCTGGTAGAGCACAAGCCTTGAAAAAGCTGGGGCTTTGGGTCCCAGTACTGGCACACACACACAAAATGTCTTTATTTGATCTCAGCTGGGCAACTGCCCTAGGCAGAATGAGAGTCTCCTAGATCCAGCCTAAAATGTGGTGAGCATCTGTTAAGAGTTCTAGGCATTTTGTACTTTTCGCTGTTTGACTCTTTCTAATATATTTGTTTTGTTTCTTTCTAATATTTGTAAGCCTCAGGCATTCTTAGTATCTCATGTTGTAGTTGGAAAGATTGAGGGTCATTGCTGCCAAAGCAGCTGGGAGGGCATGTAGAGGTCTGGTACAAAGATTCTCACATATTAGCCTGTGGATTTATGCCAACCATGACCAAGTGTTTGCACAACAGTGGCAGAAATAAATGAGGATGCTGTAGAGAGACATGTCCAATTTCCCACCCACACTTCATATAATTCAGTGTCTGGTATCTCAGAAAATCCTGTCCTCTTTCCCCTTTCTTTTCTTCTCCTCCTCTTTATCCCCTCACTCCTTCTCCTCTCTCCCTACTCCTTTCTATCTACCTCCCCTCTCTTCCCTTCCTCTCTTTCTCCTGCTCTTCCTCTTCTTCCTCTTCCTCTTCCTCCTCCTCTCATTCCTTCTTTTCCTTCTTCTGATACTGTGGTTTTGAATGTTGGGCCTCACATTTGCTAGGCACGAGCTTTCCCACAGGACCTTGCCTTAGCCCTCTTATGTTTGTTAAAACATAATTTAAAAAATCCCAACAAATTGGATATTAGTGGATAAAAGTAGATGCTATTCCTCTTTATTGAATATTCTAGTTTGGCAAAATGAGAAGCTGATCATTTATTATTACTGCTTTTGGAAGGAAGGGGATTTTGCTTGTCATTAAAATTCTCAAATGTGGGATGCCCTCAGTCCGATTACATTGGCAGGTACGGGAGGTGGGATGCCCTCAGTCGGATTACATTGGCAGGTAGGGGAGGTTCAGCTGCCAATGTCTTTAGTTGACCCATGCTTGTGCTGTTTCCCCACAGGTAGAGGAAGATGTAAGGCCATGATGGATTATCAGCAGCAAAGAAAAGGTGAACTGAGTTTCCTCCAGGGAGAGATCCTGGAGATCATCGGCTTTGTCATCCCTGGGCTTCAGTGGTTTATCGGGAAGTCAATAAGCTCAGGAGAAGTGGGCTTTGTCCCCACCAGAAGCATAGATCCTGATTCGTATTCTCCAACGTGAGTATGGCCCCGAGTAAGCCCTGGAGCTTGCTGCATTGCCCAGCCCTTCCTTCCTCACCAGGCTGACAGATGAGCCTCAGGAGAACCCTGGTAACATGGAGCCAGAGAAGCCCATTCTGGGCATCTCGGCAGATACACAGAGCACTAGGAACTGGGGAGTAAGCAGGGAGTGAGTTAGCTTTCACAGATGCCTTTCTGTGTGCTAGGAAAGAATCAACTTCCCCAGACAAAGGGCCTGTTGCTAGGCACTCAGCTGCACTTATGGTACTTGGATCTCACCACTCACCCTACCCAACCAAGGACCCCTTGAAGAGATCAGCATGCACTGGGAACATGAATTACCAGCTTAATCACTAGACATGTCTCTTCCATGAAGGTCTGGAGGTACTGCCCCTGGATGCCCTTACACAGTGTTCAGACTACAGTTGAGCCTGAAGTCATTGTTGTCTAGTAGAGCAGGAGGTATCTTTTATTCTTTTGTCCTCGAGTTCAGAAGGCCTAGTTCTGAAGCACAGACCCACCCACCTGAGTGAGCAGCAGCCAATGGCTGCTGCGTCCACTCACCTGGTCATGGGAGGGGCAGGAAGGGGCAGTCTTGCTTAGTTTCCAAAGTGGACTTCTTGCAGGATAATAGGGCACAGTAGAAAGTGTGGGAAGTACGAAGGGAAACAGGAAGCTGCTTCCTAAAACACTGGGCACATTTTACACACTAGGAAATATAACTCAAAGAATGTCAAGTTTTCAATTCCCTCTCTCATGGAACGAGCCAATGAGAGGAGTGAACCAAGGAATGGAAGCTCCCTCTATGTCCCGAGGAAGACAGAAAACCATTTTTCCTGTGCGAGATGTGGAGCCCAAATCATACAGATAAGGCAGAGCACTTACCGAGTTCCTGGAAAGGCATGAAGGGCACTCAGGGGGCTGAGGATCCATCAGGAAGGCAAGGTTACTAACAGACCCTTCACTAGCAAAGTGACATCTGACTTAAGCTTTGAATCATTTGTCATATTTTGGTAGATGTACATAGGGGACACTCGAGGAATGACTGCTGTCCCCTAGGAGTAGGCCACCAGAAGTGCATGGGAGTGGCAAAGGCTCAGGCTCAGAGAGAGGCCTTCCCTGACATGGCTGAAAGTTGATGAGTGGAATTGCTCTCTGGCTTTGGGTGAGACGTCCATTGGCAGGGAGACCTAGAGGCAGGGGGCAGGAGGCCAGTGGGATGGCTGAAGCTATCAGCAGGCTTGGTGAGGAGCAGCCACTGCTGAGAACTGTCTTCTCAGCCAGAAAGGAGTTAAGGATTCTGGGAGGTTTGTAAATGTGGACGCTCATATTCTGTGCTCATCTAACTGGTGGGGAGGGGTCTGAGCCTTTGTATATAGAAGAAATCCTTAGTTGAGATTAGTGGGCGACCAGGGTAAAAATCATTGCCCTAACTGACCCCCTTATTTTACAGTAGGAGGATGTGGGGAACCCAATACAGAAAGGGCTCAGTAGAAGGCTTTGGGCCCAGAAACTCAGAATCCTATTGCTAAGTGTAACCCCAGGTTCTGTGGGAGGAAGAAAGAATTTAACATAAAAGAGAGAGAGAGAGATGTAGTGGGGAAGAACTATTTCTGCAGTAGAGGAAGAATGAAGAGGCAAGAAAACCCCCAGAGGAGTCCACTGAGGCGAGCCAACCATGGTAGAATTGGGGTTAGTTACCTCTGTGGAGGAGGTTTGGCCAGTGGGAGGTGACTGTGGCATTTACCGTTTGCCGAATTCTAGGCCCAGGCCTCCCCAAAGGCATCAAAGGTCACACGAGTGCCTGTCTTGTGTCCATCAGCTTGTCATTCTGTGTCTTTGGGCGCACTGAGATATCTTTGTACCGCAGTTTTCTTGTCTGTAAAATGTGCATGTTTGTCAATACTTGCCTAATAGGATTGTCCTGAATTTAAGCTAGTATACATAAGACCCTTTGAGATGTACCTGTGGTGAAGTGTGTGTGAGGAAGGGGGAGAGAGCACCGCTGGGTGTGTGCTGGACTGTCGACATCCCAGCAGCATATTGCGGGTTTTGAGTCCAGAAGAATGATGGTCAAGAAAGCAAGGTTGCTGTTTCCTGTGTCATCCTGTGCACCATGCCCAGGGCGGCCACTGGGTGTCGCCCACGCCCATTTGTATGGCGTTTCTGAGGAACTTCTGCACTTACTGACTCTCCATTCTCTTCTTGCAGATGCCCGCTCAGGGCCAATATATTCTTTTACAAAATGTGTGTGTATGTCTGTACACATGATGTGTATGTGTGTGTGTGCACGTGCGTGTGCACATGCACTCATGTGTGTGCGCACTAAAGCGGCAGGATACTGAGAATGGAATTTTTCCAGAGGCTGTTTTCTGTATGAGATTCAGCCAGGGTCCTGGACACACTGCATAGAGCGCCACAGAAGCGCTTTGTAGATTGTCTTCTCCTGCATTATATATTTTAACACCAGCCACTTAGTTTTACAGCAGTTGGAAAACTAGTTTTAAAAATATGTGGCAAGTGTTTTGATCTAATAATAGATGTAGCATTTGCATTTGGCCTGAGTGATTTTGGGGAATCTCAGTGTTTTGAGATTTTTCTAATTTTAGTTTTTAAAATTATTATTATAAAGGCGATGTACAGAGAGTTTACAGTTATATAAGTCAGGCAATGAGTATATTTCTGTTGGGACAATGTCACCCTTTCTTTTCTCTCTTCTAGGTTTTCCTTCCTGTGCCCACCCACAAGTTGTATTGTATATTTTCAGTCTAGTGTCTACTGAGTAGCACTGCTGCATTTGTCCACCTTTTGTACCTCTTGTCCCATTTTTATGCCCCTACTTAGCCTCTTAAAGTCTTTCCTAATATTTACAAATATTTGGTAAATGTATGCTTAAAGAGGAAAAAGGTTTTGAAGATTATTTTTAGTCCTTTTTTCTGTTTTAATGGTCTTGACTCCCTAAAGACACATGCTATTTAGAGTACTTCCTAGTTTTTATTTTGATATATTTAAAGCACAGATAATTACTATTATTGTCTTGGTAAAGGATATTTCATAATTTATTTAGATCTCCTTCAATTTAATACAATGTCATGTGGTTGTCAATCTATGATTTTTTATTGGCTTATGTTAATTACATATGGGACTTTGTGTTGTTACATTTCCACATGTATTGACAATGAATATATATGAATCAATCTCTCCCCTGTCTCATACTCTTCCTCCTCTGCCCTGCTCTGCCTCCCCAAAGTAATTTCAACGGGTTGTTTTTGTAGTTGTAAGCAATTTATTTGGACCATATTCAACCTCTTTCATCCTTCCAACTTCAGAGACTAGTACCTACCCCACAGCAAAACTCCTGTGCCTCTCCCTTGCCCCCCCCCCCCCCCAATGCCCCAATTTCCTTCTGGTGTATAGTTTTCATGAGGTTTGCCTGTTTCCATGAATCTAAGGGGACTACTTAGGAGAAGGGAAAAGGGGAAGACAGAAGACAGAAAGATAGAAGCTGTCACATGCCTGTAATCCTAGCTACTCAAGAGGCTGAATCTGAGGATTGAAATTTGAAGCCAACCTGGGCAGAAAAATCCAATAAACTACTCAGAAAAGGTTGGAAGTGGTGCTGTGGCTCAAGTGGTAGAGCACTTGCCTTGAACACAAAAAGGCTCAGGGACAGTGCCCAGGCCCCAAGTTCTAGCCCCAGGACTGGCAAAAAAAAGGAAGGAAGGAAGGAAGGAAGGAAGGAAGGAAGGAAGGAAGGAAGGAAGGAAAGTAGAAAGGAAGGAAGGAAGATAGTGAATTCTTTTGTAATACATTGCCAGTATATATAAACACAGCTATGTATGATCAGAAATGCATAAATTCACCTATTTAAAATTTTATATGCCTTTTTCAATTAACATAAATTTGGGATTTATTCATATGCTGGTGGATATAAATCATTTTAACAAAGTGTTACTGAAAGGAAATTTAAGCACTTAGTTGTCTAAACTAAAAAAATCATCAAAATGAATAAATCAATGTGCTCAAAACCAGAAAAAGAACTTACATGTAAAACCAGTATCATAGTATTAAAAACCTCTTCATATTGTTTATCTGTCTCTTCTTTACAGTTCCATTTCTTGTAGCATCAATTTAAGCTGATGAGGATTTGGCTGTTATTTAGCTGTTCTTTTGCAGGCAGGCTGTCTTTTGTTCACTTTATTGTTTTGTTGTTGTTACTGACTTTTTTTTAAATTTTGTTTTTGGTTGGTCATAGGGCTTCAACTCTGGCCTGGGCGCTGTCCCTCAGCTCTTCAGCTCAAGGCAAGCACTCTACCGCTTGAGCCACAGTGTCACTTCCAGTTTTATGAGTCGTTTATTGGAGATGAGTCTCTTAGACTTCTTGCCTGGGCTGTCTTTGAGCCATGATCCTCAGATCTCAGCCTCTTAAGTAGCTAGGATTACAGGTGTGAGCCACTGGCACCCAGCTCTTACTTTTTAAAAATAGCAGTCCTGGGGCTTGAATCAGGAACTAGGCACTGTCTCTGAACTTTCTTGGCCCAAGGCTAGCATTCTATTGCTTGAGTCACAATTCCACTGATGGGTTTTCTTTCCTTCTTTTTCTTTCTTTCTTTCTTTCTTTCTTTCTTTCTTTCTTTCTTTCTTTCTTTCTTTCTTTCTTTCTTTCTTTCTTTCTTTCTTTCTTTCTTTCTTTCCTTCCTTCCTTCCTTCCTTCCTTCCTTCCTTCCTTCCTTCCTTCCTTCCTTCCTTCGTTCTTTCTTTCTTTCTTTTTCTTGTAGTTAATTGGAGATAAGAGTCTCAAATATTGGCTGTTCTGGCTGGCTGAACCACAATCCTCAGATCTCAGCCTTCTGAGTAGCTAAGATTACAGACATGAACCATTGGTGCCTGGCCTTGTTATTAATATTTTACAGCTATAGCACGATATATAAATAAGTGATATATTCTATGTTTAAAATTCCACAGCTGCATCATCAAGTGCATTTTCAGCAGTTATTTGTGAAGCTCCATGAGTTGACAGTTTCCAGGGATCAGTCTTTTTTTTGTCTTAAATATGCTTAAAATATACCCTTAAATGACAATTTAGCTAAGTATAGACTACCATCTTCAAAGTGTGTGTGTCTTTGTATTTGTATGTAAGTGTTTGTGTGTATGTAGTAACTATTATATAAAATTGTAAGGCAATTGTACTAGGGTTTTACCTATTATGTTGTCTTTTTAGAGAAGCAGTTTTCTTTTCCTTAATCATCTTTATTTTCTGTCATTAATTACAATTTTTGCCTTATCATGTTTTTCTTTCTTTGTTTTTATTTCATTAGTTCATGTTGTTGTTATTTATATTTAGCTATTTCATCTTAAGAAGTTGAACAATGAGATAATGGATAATTGGGCCCAGAAATAAGAATTAGGAAAAAATTAAGTAATGCATATTTAAAGTGATGCTATTTTCATTTTTTTAAACTCAGGGTCTGGTGTAAGTCTTCAATTTGAGAATCATGTCTTTATTCAAATTATGGAATATTCTCATTCATTCTCCTTTTGAATACTGTTTATTTCTCTTCATCTTTTAATGTCTATTCTGGGAATTCTGGTAGAGGTATGTGGAACTCACTCTATCCTCCATCTTACTTAAACAACTAGCTCTTTCTTCTTGCTTGCATTTTTCTTCTCTAGGTTGCATGCTGGCCAATTTCCCCAAATAGGTCTTCTCTACTGCTGTGAATAAGCTTACTTTTTAATCCATTCACATTGTTCTCAACAGCATGCCTTCATTTTTCATTTCCAGATTTTTATTTCCCTATTTTCCATAACTGACTGATTTGTCTTACCATTCCATCCCTTCATTGTGGACTGTATTGTTTTTAGTTCACTGTTTGAATCATACACATCATAAATCATTCTTTACATTATCACTATTTCTAGTTTTATTATTCTTTAGTATTAATTTACTTGCTTGGGCATCTGAGAACTTTCTTTGTGGTAGTTCATGTTTTTAATTTGTATATCTTAGTTTGTGGGTTTTTGTTTGTTTTTGTCCAGTGAACTCATTTTCAACATTTTAAAAGATAGTCCTTATGGGAGTTTTGGAGTAAAGCAAACCTTCCTGTAGAGAAGATTTTTGCATTTGTTTCTCCTGAAACAAATGGAATGCATGATCCCAGACTGAGTGGCTGTGGCATTTTTAGAAAAAAGTCAAATTATTTGAATGTCATGCCAACACCATTCAGTGTAAATTAAGAGTCTGCACCTCTTTCTGCTAAAAACCTAGATGTTTGAGTTTTTTCCCAGGGAATCAGATAGATGAAAAGCATAATATTGGCAGACTGTAAGTTTCATAATCACCTCTTTAAGGAAGTTGATTCTCTTTTAGACTCAGGTTTTATGGAGGGAACTTAATTCCTTCCTTGCCACACACACACAGGCTCAAGGTTATATCTCCTGTTCATGAAGGTTATTAACAGTGAGCAACAGTTCTTAAGGCCCATATCCCTGTTCAAACCACCAGGGTCTCTTGGCCACCTGCCTTCACCTACCAATCTAGGTTCAGTTTCTCCTTTTGTTTCTAGATCCCAGAAGTTACTTTTTCTTTTTTTTAAGTTTAAATATGTGTTAAAATATTTATGTTTGTTATATGTTCTTTAGGATTTGTGAGAGGGAAAGAGGAGAGAGTAGCCTGTTAGAGCACCTCAGCTTGCTGGGTTTCTAGAAAAGTTGTCATGTTCTAACCCAGTTTTCAAATTTGCAAATCCATATTGTAGTTTTTTCCATTTTCTTGGACTGCCTTTAAACACCTGAAAATCAGGATGTTAGTGGGTCAGCTCTGGGGCAAAGAATATATTTCAGTCTTAGCTTTGCCACTTTCCAGCTGTACATCTTCTGAACATGTCACTGAACTTTTCTGAAGCATTTTCTTTGATTAAAAGCATGTATTAAAACAAGCATACTTCCTAGAGTTTTTAATAATAATAAGTGAAATAGAAAATTCAGGATACTTTGCAAGATTTAAGGATTCTACCTGTATGTATAGGTATGTATGTGCACACATGTGAATCTAGTTGCAGATTTCAATTACATGTTGCTTTGAGGCTGGAAGCTTTCATGATACTGTAGAGAATCTAGAAGTCACGTCAGAGAGATGGAGGCCACATGTGGTCAGATGTCGGGATACAGCTCTAGAGGCCAGGATACAGCTCTAGATGTCAAGATGTAGCTCTGGTGCCAGCCCTGCTTTGGATGGGTGGTGTGCCCTGAGCAGTTCTGCCATTCACCTCCTCTCCTCCGCTGGCTTTGTCATTGCTGTTCCTTGAGTAAAGGGCACATAGTAAGTGTTTGCCACCAGCAGCCCTCCCAGTCCCTCTCAGCCCCTCACATAGCTACAAATCCTCTTATTCCTGCTCTGTCATTTCCCAAACAGCAGATGCATTTTTGGGCCCCAGTTTCTTCATCTGTAAGGAGTGGTTAAGAATAATAGCCACCTCAAAGGGCAAGTGTAAGGATGAAATGAAATAATATTATACAAGTCCTCACAAGCCTCCAAAAGTGTAGCTGTGATTAATTCTTGGGCTTTCCAGGTCGTTTTCTTTAAAAATAATGGGTTCTGATGTTTAAAAACTTCTCTTCAGAACTGAAAGCAATCTTCACATTTGTTCAGTTAGCTCATGGACTAAATGTTTTCTAAGGCACTTCTTAATTTCACTATCTATGGTGAATTTCACTATCTATGGTGAGCAAATTAGTCCTAAGAAATAGGTTATACAGAAAGAGACTCCAGATCTCTCTTTTGCTTATCATCATTTCTTCTAGACCCCTGGCCCTCTCTCTTCTCATTGTCCCGCAGCAATTGCCTTCTTCTCCTACTGTCCTGTAATGCAGTTGTTCTGTGTCATGGAATCAAATTTCAACAACCACGAAAGATTCCTTCCTACAACAGAAAAATACATCTTCATTGATCCTCTAAATTGTCCCACTTGCCCCTAACCTTTTCCTGGAATAATCTAAGGTCACAGAAACTGCCTTTTATGGTTTCTTATCCTTTTATTTAAGGTAAGCAACTCTTATTTTTCTCATTAATAACAGCACCATGTGGTGTCAAAGAATAGATATGGGTTGAGGGAGAAGGCTTGGCTTTTCTTGGGAGAGTATTTGAAGGAGGGGGGCTTTTATGTCTGTGTTCACCTATTCAGCAATCATGAAGCATTATTTCCTGTTTATGCGGTACTAATAGACCTTCTCTTTCAGCAGCAGCAATACTGCTGGAAACAGGGTAGAGTCTGAGTTAAACATCTAGCAAATGGGTTGATGACTTCTCTAAGATCTTTCCTCCATCCTAGTGTGAAAAGAAGAAAGTAGGGTGACTGAAGTCTTGCAATGACCTTCTCTTACCCCCTCCCCAACCCTCAGGAGCAAGAATTCTGCCTTCTTCAGTGATGAGGAAAGAAGCACTCTGTGGACCCTGGGGAGTGACAGGAAGGCTGAGTATGTTAGCTTCCTGCACATGCTGGCTCATACTGACATCACGTCTGTCTACCGGCTTAGTGAGTATTTGGTTCTCAGACCCCAGTGAAACTCCGGACTCCTCAAGACTAGGAAAGAATCCCTGTGCAGGAATAGAATGTTTCTACATTCTAAACCTCTCCATTTGGGACTGTGACCACTATTGAACGGGGTCTGAATCATAGTTAGCTAGCAGAATTTCACATTAGATTTCAGATAATTCTAGGATGGCTCAAAACATTTGCCTAGCAACTTTGAGATGGGATATAATCAACTCCCCTTATGTGAGTGGTCAGCCGTATTGGCTTTTTATCCTAATCTTGGAAAGAAAGAACTTCCTCCATTGTAGCTAAAATCTCTCTTTCTAGGCTAATAATCAAGGTAGAGTGACAGAATGTTCCAGTTGGAAGGACCCTGAGATGATTTGTCATTTTACAGATTGGTAAACTGAGGCCTGAGTGAACTAGTGCCCGAGCCAGTACAGAACAGTTTATTTTACCACATTTTCCAGAACCATTGAGAGTGGGCTGTTAGGCACATCAGTCTTGGTGGGGCAGGGGTCAGGGGCTCAGTTCTTAGCACAGACTTTCCTGTCATGTTTGCATGACTGAGTGAATGGGTGAATGAATGACACTGATTCCTGTCCATGGCTCCCTCTCATTGATGGTAGCTTTGAGAAAGGACTGTCTTCTCCCACCTCTCCACTGATGGTGATGTGTCTGTCCCCTTCTGTATAGCCAGTTAGACGGGCCATATTTCATGCCTTCATCCAGAGATTCTCTGCACAAGGGACCCTCAGGCCAGATTCTGGGAGTAGAAATAGAAATAGAGGGGTTTCTATGTACATAAGACGCCTTTGTGAGGAACACCAATCCCAGACATCAACCCGCAGCCTTAGCACAGCTTTCTTACCACAGGTAGATTATACTGCTTCCTGAGGCTGAGACAGGAAGTTGGCTAACTAACACCATGGGTACTGCCAAGTAGATGGGACCAGACATCTGAAATCAGGGCCATGCCTTGAGGGGAAGGGGACAGAGGTGAGAGGCAGACTTGGATCAATGGTATCTATCTGTCTTCTGTTGATCTGGAAGACTCAAGAGCAATACCTTAGGCAACCTGTTGCTTTTTGCTTAAAGACCAGCAATGTACTCTATTGGATGCAGACTATTTGGTTGTGTAGGCTGTCCTGGCACCAATGCACCTAGTCATCTTATTGGTCAATTCTAGCTCTCTTAAGGCCCCTGCTCTGGGAAGGGATGTGCTGATTCTTCTCTGCATTTTGTAACTCTTGCACCTTGTGTGCCCTCATTATCCTGGCCCTGAGAACAATTATGGCAGTAAGAATGGCAAATAACCCCAAATGTCAGAGGTCAGAAAGCATGAACAACACTCCAGGTCAAACTTTTTAGCATTTCCATCTTTTGATTGTAAGTAGCCCTCTACTGCCTCTCGGCAGTTACAGACTTTGGGTATCTGCAATGATAATCATAGAACAACAGGAAGAGGCTTGATTTGATGACAGTTTGCTGATCCTGACAATTTGTGGGGTGACAGAAAAAGGACCTCGGCCTCTGTGGCTTCTAGTTAGGGAAGTGGGGTCTTCTCTCCAGCAGTCCCTGTTCTGTGGCGCTAGGAGTCTTACCTTAGTCATTCACTGCCAAACCAATCTATGTTCTTCACCCTTGTCTCATCTCATCTCACTTTTACCAAGTCAGGCGGCTGTGTAGGCCCAGTTATCCTGTCCTCTTTGACAACCTCTTCCTTTTACTCTGCCTTTTGGTTTCTTTCTGCCCAGGGAATGCCAATGCTCTTCAGTATTATTAATAACTCTTCTCCCCCTTCCCCGCCTCATTCCCTCTCTTCCTTCTGAAATTTCCTTCTAAATGCTTTACCCCTTGTGATCACATTCAGTCTGGGACTTGGCCCGCTTCTTGTAACCTGCTAGTGACTGTAGTTTCATAGTCTCTTACTTTTCTTAATTCATTCTCTATGTAGAACTCTCGCAAGTAACTCAAGAATCAAACTATAAATAAATAGAACTGTACTCAAGATTCTCTCATTCTCTGGCTCATCCTACTGAGTTACTCTAGGGAACAGAAACTAGGAATTCCTGGTGTATTTTTCTCTTTGTATTTTACCATTCACTTGTAACCCACTTTGACAAAGCACAGTGCCCAGAACATTGTACCCACTAAAGCAAGACCTGTCTAGCAGATGTGTGATGAGTGCATGGAGAAAGAAAGAAGAGATACAGTATCAGAGGCTACATTGATGTGTCCCAGCTCTGTTATAGCCTTATTGAAAGATATGGGCCTTACCTCTCTCTGGCCTTCAGGGGTGTGTGTGTGAGTGTGTGTGTGTGTGTGTGTTTGTGCCAATACTGGGGTTTGAATTCAAAGCCTCTTGCTCTCACTTGGCTTCTTTGCTCAAAGCTGGCATTCTACTACATGAGCCACAACTCTACTTCTGGCTTTTTGATGGTTAATTAGAGGTCAGAATCTGCCAGGGATGACTTTGAACCACAATTCTCAGATCTCAGCCTCTTGAGTAGCTAGAATTACAGATGTGAGCCACCATCTTGATCTTAAGATGTTTCTGTCTTGCTTTGTTTTGAAAATGAACTATCTTAATTGGCTTTTTTGAAAAATATGACCAATGAATAATTGCTATTTTTTTCAAGGCACACACTGCAGCTGCCTGAGGGGCTCCTGTTCTTGCTTTTACTGTCCCTTTCCCCCTGTATATTTCTTTTTTATTTTTTACTGGTCCTGGGGCTTGAACAGGGCTTAGGCACTGTCCCTGAGCTCTTTTGTTCAAGGCTAATGCTCTACCACTTGAGCCACAATGCCACTTCTAGCTTTTTGGTGGTTAATTGGAGATAAGAGTATCACTAGTCTTTCCTCCCTTACCTGGCTTCAAACTGCAATCTTTGGATCTCAGTCTCCTGAGTAGCTAGGATTACAGGCACGAGCACCAGCATCTGGGTCTACATGTACCTTATATTCTCTCTTCTGATAGTCAGATGCCAAGCACTGTAGAAGTTTGGGGACAGTAAGCCTTAGTCTGCATGGTCTATGACAGGCAGGCCATCAGTCAGCTAAATTACTGTAGGACCATGTTGCTGTAATACACTGGAGACGATACCCTACTGATACCTGTACAAGGTGTCACAGCCCTTAGCATCCTCCTGGGTTCTCCAAGGACCCCACAGACTTTCATGGTTACAACTATAGAGGTGTTTTTTCTTTTTAAATATATATTTTTATTGTAAAGGTACTGTACAGAGGGGTTACAGTTACATGAGCAAGGTAATAAGTCCATTTCTTATCAAGCATTGCTACCCCCCTCCTTTTTTTTCTAAAGCAATGTTGTATACTTAAAGAGTCTAGGAGTTCCACATCACACATAATATAGAACCTACCTCCAGATTTCCTTCCCTGGATGAGGAAGTCTATGTAGTTTTGTGTGTGTGTGTGTGTGTGTGTGTGTGTGTGTGTGTGTGTGTGTGTGTGTGTGTGTGTATGTGCTGGTCCTGGGGCCTGAGTACTGTCCCTCAGGAGTAGAGCTCTGCTACTTGAACTACAGCTCTACTTTTGGATTTTTGTGGGTGGCTAATTAGAGATAAGGGTCTCACAGACTTTCCTGCTCTGGTGGCTTTGACCTGCCATCCTCAGATCTCAACCTAAGTAGCTACGATTATGGGTGTGAACCACCAGCACCTGGCTCTATGCAGTTCTTAAATTCACACTGAAGCTATACGTTTTGCCCAGTTCCTTCAGGCTGAGTGATGGTCTGAAGCCTCAATGAGGGCTGATGTCCTCAGCCCCTGGAGGCTATGGCATGGTGGCCTCTTCTGATCTAACACCAGATCTGTCCTTCATCTCTACCTAGGTGGGTTTGAATCCATCCAGAATCTTCCAAATGATCTGAGTGGTAAGTAGAGATCCTGCTAATCCTGACCTCTCATCCTTCAGGTCAGCATGACTGTTCTCTTGCCAGGAGTTGGCCACCCTGGTTGCAGGCACTCAAGGGTGCTCAACTCTGCCTGTCCTTTCAGCATCGCAGCCTGAGGGCTTCAAGGAAGCCAGGCCTGGGGGAACCTGGGAAGAAAGTCAGGTCGTGGGCTCCAGACGTTCCAGCAGCTCTGTGGACTCCAGCATGGAAGACGAACTCCTCTCAGCCACTTCAGACAACTATCACCTGCCAGAGCCTGATGACCTCGACGATCCGGAACTGTTCATGGACCTAAACACTGGTCTGGATGAAGAAGAAGTGGAGAACTTCACCTCCATCTTGGCTTTTCTGGATCAGAAGGGATACACCGACAACTTTAAGAACCTCTATGATTTTTCCTTCTCTTTCCTCACCTCTTCCTTTTACAACTTCACAGAAGAAGATGAGCTTGTGGTCTACCTGGAGACCTCAAGGAAGTGGGCCAAGAGGAGTCACATGACTTGGGCGCATGCCCGGCTCTGCTTCCTTCTGGGCCGGCTGAGCATCAGGAAGGTCAAACTCTCCCAGGCCAGGGTGTACTTTGAGGAGGCCATCCACATTCTTGATGGGGCATTTGAGGACCTATTCTTGGTGGCTGCTCTATACATCAATTTGGCTGCCATCTATCTGAAGCAGAGGTTAAAGCATGAAGACTCAACCCTACTGGAAAAGGCAGGTGCCCTTCTGGCCTGCCTGCCTGACCATGAGTTCAGTGCCAGGAACGAACTTGACATAGTGGCCTATGTGCTGCGCCAGGGGATTGTGGTAGGCAGCAGACCCTTGGAAGCCAGGGCATGCTTTCTGGCTATCCGGTTGCTCCTGAGTTTAGGCCGACATGAAGAAGTCCTACCATTTGCTGAGCGCCTACAGATCCTTTCTGGACGCCTTCCCACCTCAGATGCTATGGCAGCCATCTTGAGTTTTCTGTATGACAAGAAGTATCTTCCATATTTCGCAGTTGCTTCTGTCCAGCAATGGTGTAGTCAGAGTTCCCAGAGGATGTCTCTTCCTATTTGGCAGGTCTCCTTGGTTCTTCAGAACACCAGCAAGCTCCCTGGCATTCCCTCTTCAAGCTGGGATGAAGTTTCTGCCCTGGCCTGTCCGACCCTCAGGCAGGCTCTGGCGGTCTGTGAGGAACAGGCTGATCCGAGCACCCAGAGGGCCCTGTGTCTCATCCTGTCCAAACTGTACCTCCAACATAGGTCTCCTACTGGGGCCATCTACTACCTGAGTCAAAGCTTGGTATTGGGGAAGCTGCTGGGTGAGCAGGAAGCCTTTGAGTCATCCCTCTGTCTGGCATGGGCTTATTTGTTAGCCAGCCAGGCAAAAAAGGCTGTGGACATCCTTGAGCCACTGTTATACTCTCTGAAGGCGACTGAGCGTGGGATCCAAAGGGGAGTGGTCTATAACCTCCTGGGACTTGCACTTCAAGATGAAGGTCAGATGAGCAGGGCAGCCAAGAGCTATCTCCAGGCTCTGAACAGAGCTCAAGAGGCAGGAGATGTACGCAATCAGGCAGTGGCTATGGCTAATCTTGGCAACCTCAAGTCTTGGGCTCAGCAGCCAGACAGGGACTATCTCCTACAGGCTGTCCATCTGTATTCTGAACTGGAGGCCAGCAAGGAGACGGACATAGAATTGGTACAGGTGCTCCTTTGGTTGGCCCAAGATATGGTGTCCGGACACCAGCTGACTCACAGCCGCTTTTGTTATGAAATGGCATTGCTGTTTGGCTTAAGGAATCGCCACCTACAGAGTGAGTATGTCCTGTGCTGCTAGGGAGCCTTACGGAAAAGGGTTGGAGCATGCTTTGCCCAAGTCCTGTCTCAAGACATCTCATTCATATCCCTGCTTTATGTTCAGGTCAGCTTCAGGTCACCAAATCCCTCTGCCATTTCTACAGCTCTGTGTCCCCAAATCCTGAGGCCTGTATCACCTACCACGAACACTGGTTGGCTCTAGCTCAGCAACTCAGGGACCGAGAGATGGAGGGGAGGCTGCTGGAGTCTCTTGGGCAGCTCTACCGGAACCTCAACACAACCAGGTGAGACGTGTTCAGGGAAAGTTCTAGATGCTTCTTTCTTACCTTAAAGAGAGTCAGGGTCTGTACTCATAGGAATTCAAGTTCAATTGTGCATGGTTTATGCATTAGAATAATGAGAAATAGCATAGCTCTTTGGCCAGCATGGAGAGCTGTCTAACACTTAGCTGTGTGGCCTTAGGTCTTGATTTTCTTCCGGGCCTCAGTTTCCTTAGCAGTAAAAGGAGGATAGGAATTATATCTATCCTGTAGTAGTAATGTGAGGAATGATTGAGTTAAAGCTCAGGGAACACTCAAAACAATGCTTCCTAAATATAAAGGCTCAGTAATGTTTGCCACATCCCTATTATTTGTGTATTTCTATAACAACCCATCTGGTGACCATGGTTGATGGTGCCTACTTCAGAGAGGTTTTATGCCAAGGACTAAGGAGCCTAGAGAAGCTCTTCATTACTTGAAGACAATTGGAATTTGTGAATGGATACAAAGTAAATAAACCTATTGAAGGCTCAGGTGTAAAACTGCATAATAGAAGAAATGCTTGATTATAATCTTATCTTTAGAAGGAAAGTGGAAATGATGAAGTTTATTTTCACCTGAGGTACTGAATGCTTGAATAAATATACACTAAAAGAAATGCTGATTTTTCAATTTAATTTTGTTGATAAACTTGTATAATAGAACTATAAGACATCATCGTTCTATTATATTTATGATTTATAGTTAGAATAACATAATAATATAACTATATTATTGTATTAATAAGTATAATCATAAACAAACATTGATTTTGTGATTGGCTTCTTGATGCCATGATCAAAAGCTTTGTTTTTGCAAAAATACACCAAAACTAACTGCAGAATTCCAGAGCACCTTTTAAATCCTTTGGTACTCAAATGATTTTCACTTGAAGCATTTTGCCATTGCTTGCATCTGTGTGTGTGTGTGTGTGTGAGTGTGTGTGTGTGTATGTGTGTGTATGTGTGTATGTGTGTATGTGTATATGTGTACGTGTATGTATATTTACTGGGAATTGAACTCAGGACATGAGTTCTGTCCCTTGACTTTTTTGCTCAAGACTGGTGCACTAACCTCTTGAGCCACAACTCCACTTCCAGATTTTTGGTAGTTAATTTGATATAAAAGGCTTATGGACTTTTCTGCCTAGGCTGGTTTTGAACTGTGATCTTCAGGTCTCAGCCTCCTTATAGACATGAGTGATCGGGGTCCAGCTTCTTTGTCCCTTCATTGCTCTAAGGCTCCTTGATTCTGGCTTACCGGTGGGAACCTGTTATTCTATCTCAGACAAGTCTTTAATAAGTCCCATTAAATCCTACAGAGTGTGCAAGATTGTCCATCTCTCTTTGCAACACATTTGCATTGTAACATTTTGCATTGGTAGTTATGACTAACTTCTGTAATAGAAGAATGATATTGCTAGGGTTGAAGGGAAGCTAAGTGAATGAGAACTTTTGTGTTTTGTTTTTTTTTGGGTCCGGTTGTGGGGCCTGAACTCTGGGCCTGGGAGCTGTCCCTTAGCTCTTCAGCTCAAGGCTAGCACTCTACCACTTGAGCCACAGCGCCACTTCCGGCTTTTTTCCTTTTGCTTATGTGGTGCTGAGGAATCGAACCCAGAGCCTCAGGCATGCAAGGCAAACACTCTACCACTGAGCCACCTTCCCAGCCCCAGAGCTTTTGTGTTTTTTAGGCAACAAGTTAGCCATGGGGCACGTGAATAATCAGATAATGTGAATGTCCTCTCTGAGTATTCTCCCTTTCCCTTCCCTCACTTTCTTTTACAAGAATCAGAAGTTCTCCAAAGTTTCCACTGTCTTTGAGAGGGAGGGAGTTTGGGATCTTTGTGGCCTGTGAGGAGCAGGTGGAAGGCTTAGCCCTGCCTGACCTGTTTCCATTCCTTCAGGACACCCTAGGACTTTGGATGCTTCTGTAGCAGATCCAAAAGGTAGGCTTCAACGAACCCTTGTGAGGAAACAATCCTATGATTTTGGTGATGCATCTTAGAACTTGGCTTTGGGAAAGTAGGATTTTTTTCATTTATTGTTGTTACTCTGAAAGTGGTGAAGAGAAGGTTACAGTTATGTAAGTCAGATGAAGAGTGCATTTCATTTTGAACAATGTCACCCCTTCCCTCATTCACTCCCAGTTTTCCCCTCTTGTCCACCCTTGTGGGGACAAGTTGTATTGTTCATATTCAACACACTGCTGGATGTGTTCATCCTTTGTCTCACCATTTATATGCCCCCTTACTCTTCTAAAGACCGATAAATGAACAAACAAGACAAAAGGAGAAGAAAACAAAAACAGTAATAAAGAAAAAAAACGTCTTGTTTTCATTTCCTGGAGTTCATTTTGATAAATATTATTTTATATGATCAGATGCACCTAGATAATGTGCCTTTGTGTTCATCTTCTTTGGTCTCACTGTGTGGATGCGTAGAGACATGTATAATTTATTATGTTCCAATGTATCTTTTAAACCATTCAATGTGTTTACTTGTAGCTTTATAGGTGCATTGTAGCTCCACAAATGAGGGAAACCATGCAACCTATGTTTCTTTGGATCTGGCTTATGTGGCTTAATATATTTTTTTCCAAGTCTTTCCACTTTCTTATGAATGGTACAATATCATTCTTTTTGAGGGAGGAGTAGAATTCAGTTGTGTGTATATACCACATGTTCTTAATCCAGTAATCCACTGAGAGGCCTCTGGTCTGATACCATATCTTGGTTATGGTAAATAGTGCTGTAGTGAACATGGTTGTGCTGGTAACTTTAGTGTGGCCTTGTTTGTATTCTATTGGATAAATGTCAAGTTACTTGAGCTGATCCAAAACTTTGGCAAAGCAGCAGGGTATAAAATAAAAATCCCCCTCTCCCCCACCCCCCACCCAAATCACTAGCTTTTCTGTATGCCAACAATGAAAAAATCAAGACTGAAATCAGGAAAGCAACCCCATTTGTAATAGCCTCCCCCTAAACAACAACAACAATAACTGGGAATTAACCAAAGATTCAAAAGACCTCTATTTTGCACACTTAAAATATCTGAGAAAAAGAAATTAAAGGAGATTTAAAGAAATGGAAAAACCCCTCACACTCATGGACTGGAAGAATTAACATTGTGGAAATGGCAACATTGTCCAGAGCAATTTACAAATTCAATGCAATACTTATCAAAACCACAACATTCTCAATGAAGTAGAGAAAGCCAACCCAAAAATTCATATGGAATTAATAAAAGACCCCGAATATCAAAACAATCCTTAGCAGGAAGAACAGTGCTGGAGGAATATCAATGTCAAATGTCAAACACTATTACAAAGCCATACTAATAAAAACAGCTTGGTACTGATGCAAGAAAGGTGGATTTTAAGAGTGCCAAATATGTGTCAGACTTACTGCTGCCTCTTGTTTCTACAGTATGAATTCAGTCTTAGATTAATCCTAATCCTCGCTATTGCTGATATCCTTTACTCTCCAGCCCTGCTCCCATCTGGTTGCCAAAACCACTGGAATCCTAAAGAGAAGCCAGCTAGAGCAGCCTGACTGCTAGTCAGGCCTCACCTAAGACAGCACTCAGCATTACTGCTCTTAGATGAGTGCAACAAAAAAGAGATTGGAGTAGAGCTGTGGTTGGCACAACAAATGACCAGAGAAATCCTGAAGTTACAGGAAACCAGAGCTGCTGAGACCTAGTAGTAATGGGTCCTTCAAAAAGTCACTTCTCTTGGTTGTTGTACTTTTAACTGAATGAGCAACCTTTCAGTTTTGTTTGGGACTAGTTAGTGAGCTATGCATGTAATTCTGACATTGCCCATGAGTACTAGAATTCTTGCTGCCTCCAACCCCCCCCCCCCAAAAAAAAAAATCTTGACATTTGGGGACAGATTATTAAAGTTGTAGGCATTTCAGGGAAGCCCTTGAGATCAACAGCCTAAACTTTCAGGGTATGAAGGACTCTCAAGTATGGTCAAGAGTTCTTGAAGATAGACATTAGGCCTAGCACAGAGCTAGCTATATAGTATATGTGTGGGTGGGGGATGGGGTAGACAAATGTAAGTTAGTTCCTTGATCCCTAAATTCACTATCCATGTCAGCAATGCTGACATGGTTGTTGTTGATAAGATGGAGAATGTGGGTGGTTTGGCTGGAAAGACCCTTAGTTCCATTTTGAAGTGTTCAGGCAAGGCAAAAAAAGTGCTTGGAAACAGGCTATGTGCTCTTTAGTGAGAAGAACAGTGGTCAGAGTGCCAGCATGACATTGCTACCACTGGCCTGCAGTGGAATCTGCAGATCTGACTCTACACAGCAGGTCCTCTCCTCAGGGAGCACTTGCTGATAAGGAAGCAAACTATGCGTAGTGACTTGGATATGGGGATTTGCAGCCAAAGGAGGGATGTAGTTGGTTTTCTAAAATTAAATAGTTGGTTTTTTCATTTCTCAGTTGTATGTGTTTTAAAATTAAACCAACATTGGCGATTATAAGTTGAGAAATAAAGGCCCCTTTGCAACTGTCCTTTATCAAGACTATCTAAAAGTAACTGCCTAAAGATTTAAAAATATCCACGTAGAAAATTTTCAGGCATGTGAAAGATTACACGATATACACTTTTTACGTTAAAGAGGAAATATATTAAATACAATGTCTTAGTTATAAATCTTAGTTATTTAAGTGGGATCATGATCAAAGTTCTGTTATCTGATAATACTGCTTGGTTGGCTTACTTTTTCCCTTAAAAAATCTCACTATGAAATGGTAATCCAGCATTTTATCTCACTGTGGAGTCCTTTTGATGTGTCAGGTACTATACAAGGTGCTGGGGAATCCAATAGTTAAGGAAAAATAAATCCAAAGTAACTATCCCAAATGGCCAGCTTGTACCATGTGAGGGCATTGCTGCCCACAAGCATTGTGGGAGCTTGTATTGTCATTACAAGCATTCAAGCAGCGGCTGACTTCTGAGGAACTTATACAAGAGTT